AACCAAACACATTCTAACTTGGGGGACATTTTCCACTTTTTCATTTTGTACTGGTACTCCTCCAAGGTAGTTCCTACCCTGCTCCATTTTACCCTCACGTGTGTTGGGAGTTATCCTTATTTAGTGTCCTCACTTGCCCCCCTCTTTGCTACCTCACCTTTGTCATGGTTACCATGTGATCTAGGTTTGAGGTAAGAGGAGATAGATTGCTGGTTTAGTAGAAGCAGACATACTGAGACCATTGCCTACAGGTTGATTTTTGTGGGTAGGGAAAGGCAATTCTAGTTTTTATTTTAAATAAAGCAAACAAAACCATATTAACTTGTTATCTGTGAAGCTGTCATCTTTTTATTTAAATTTAAGTGTTTCATATTTTAATGGGGAGACTAAAATGGGTATAGAATTCAATTATAAAGTAAAATTTAAGTGTTGCTATTTATAGTAATTTTCTCCTTAAAAGTCATTATGTTTTTGAAAACTCAGAATTGTTTTTACAATTACTGACTTATCAAATTTGCATTTTGTTAAGCAATACGAGGATTCTCTCCACCACATAGAATCTGCAGTTTTGAAGAGGCAAAGGGTTTGGATAGGATCAATGAGAGAATGCCACCCCGGAAAGATGCTGTACAGCAAGATGGTTTCAATTCCCTGAACACCGCACATGCCACTGAGAACCACGGGACTGGCAACCATAGTGCCCAGTGACCAGCGGCTTCCCAGGGACTCTCAGGTCTTGGACCCCAAATGGACAGATCACCCAAGAAACTGGAGGGGTCGGCCAAGCTGATGATAAATGTCACAATCTCTCTGAAGAAACCATTGTGCTTTTTGAGACCCTTGCCCCCTTCCCGGATGGAGGCTTGAGGGCCCTGGGACATGTGTTGTCTAATAAGATTGGATAATCGCTGCCACAGTGGAGAGCAGTGAGCAAGGGGCTTGGGGCAATTTCCAGTGGAGGATATCTATGCCTCCATTTATGCTTGTGGTTCACACATTTACGTTTACAAATGAGATTCCTGTTTTGTTTTGTTTTCTCAGTAGAATTAGGGTTTTTTTCAACCATGAGTTTAAATCCAATCTTTAGAGTTAACGTGGACTCTCCCCCTGCCCCATGAAATGTCTTTAAAAGGATGAATTAGCATGGTCTTAAAATATATTTCTGAGGTTACTAGCTGTATTTTGAATTGTAGGCAAAATCTGAGAAACCCAGTTGGTGTTTATACAAAATGCTGACCTCAGGTCTATAGTTCTTAAATGTGGCTAATTCTGTAACATAGTCTTGGTATTTTTCAATTATGAATGCATAAACTATTTCTAAGAAGACTTACTTGAACACAAGTCCAAAAACCAATTTAGAATCTTTTTTGCCCATATCTTTTGAGATTTACACCCCAGAGATTTAAGGGGAAAAAAAGCCTAAATTTTCAAATTATGAAGAATTACAGAATTACTCATTTAAGGTACTTTAAAAGAAGTTTGTATATTGTCAAAGTAAATTTTAATTCAAATCATGTCTGTAAAACTTGACGTATTTTGTGTATGCACGTTTTCATTTTGCAAATATTTAATATATAGACCTATAATGTACAGGTAGGTGATGTATAGGTTACTTAGATGTCATGAGAAATTTTAGTTTATTGTGAGTATTCCAGTTGCTTAAAAAACCACCAGGGTGATTTGCTGCTGGCTTTCTATCATTTTTATGTTTAAGTGCAAAGGAAAATTTAAAATGTCTGGAAATGTTTTTGATTAAGTAATGCAGCCTAGAAGCAATGGTTCTCTTCAACTCTTCAGATGTTAGTGGAAGCATAAAAGTCAAGACTGCATGTTGAAATTTTACTTTTGATAGTTACAGAACTGCTTGGTTAAGCTAAATGGAACCATGTGCTAATTTTACACAGTTATTGACCTGTGCTGATTGCCACTGTAGTTTGGTATTTCCCTTTACTTTGGTGGCCTGCTTCCTCTCATGCCCTGGAATACAACTCAGAGCTCCAGGCAGCGGAACCATCTGTTGTTTTGTTTGCCAGAAAGTGCACCCTGTATGGTCTCCTGTCTAAGTTGAAAATATTATGCATGTGCAGGACTATTCAAGTATTTTATAAACAGTAGCACACAATAAATTCCATGCATGGGCCGCTGCTCCTATCTCTGTGTTGGGTTTTATTTGAAAGATCTGGTCTGATTTAACCTTTTATGCATATTGTAAAATTCTGTTCATGGAGCTAGATAGCCTTCAGAGATCATTCTATAGATAACTAATGATTTCATGAATTAAATTCTTGCCTTTATAAATTTTACTTGTTTCCCCCTTAAACTTTTGTTATACTTTTTTTTTTTAATGTGAATAGTTGTGCATTGGAGAACTTTGAATACCTACAGCAATCTTCCAAAATACAATATTTAAAGTCACTTGGGGCTGGGGATATAGTTCAATGGAAGGGTGCTTGCCAGTCACGTTCAAGGCCCTGGGTTCAACCCCCTACTGCCGTAAATACAATAGAAGTCATTGTTTTCGGCAACTCTCAGTTGAAAGAAATATTCTAGTCTTGGACTTTGTTAGAGTGATATTGATAAAGTGTGTTAGGATATTGGGTAGTTTAACAATAAGCAAAATACTAATGTATGGTTACTCTGAGATTGTGCATTTCCTCTGCCATTGTTGAAGTGAATATAATTTTGTGTAATTCGAGAAATTGCTCACAATTTATAATATGACAAATAGCTTTAAACAGTAACTATGATACTCATGAAGCATCAGTTTATATCAAAATATATATTCTTGCCTAATTCTAGATAAAAATAGAATCTAAAGTTTTTTTTATTGTTCAACATAATATTGATTTGTAAACAGTCCATTTGATTTGCTGCCTCTAAAATTACTATATACTTTATAGATTTTTCATAGATTTTTTTTGAATATTACATTGTTAAAGTAGGAACTTAACTAGTATATTAAGTGCTAGGAACTTAGCACTTTGATTTCTTAGTAGGGTTATATAGTATTTGTGAGAGTCATAGGTAAGCATAAGACATCATTATCAAACTTGAAGAGTTGCAGGTTGGTGTTAAAAATTAAGAAGGAGAAAGTAAAAGAACAACTTGGACAAATCAGTGTACCTGAAAATGGTAGGTAGACTGTCATCCAGCCTCACAGACTTCTTACAGATTAATAAAATGGGAGCCTCTTTGTAGGCTACACCCCCTCCCTCCCTCCCTCCCTCCCTCTCTCCCTCCCTCCCTCCCTCCCTTTCTTCTGAAAAGAGTCTGTGTAGCTGAGATTATGCTTCAACTCATCTATCCTCTTGCCACAGCACCCCTAGAGCTAGAATTTTTAGTCATGAACTACGTACCATACCTGGCATTTCATCTTCATGGATATAGTTTTACTAAACAATGGTTAAATGATAATTTTCATTGTAACTCCTAATGCAAATTGTGGGAATTTCAGATCTCTAAGTTTTTACTTTAAATGTCTACCAGTGTAGGTAGCATTGCTAAAGTAGAAATATCCCCTATCAATTTTTTGCCCTGTCACTATCCTTTATATTCAAATATGACACCTCTGAGTTAGCAGAGTCAGTCTGAATTTTTTTTATTATTTATTTATTTATTTATTTATTTTGTGACTTCTGGTTCAATCTTTAGCAACAGAACTCTTAACCCCATTGAAGGTCATCATTTAATTTTGAGGCCATTTTAGTTTGAAGTCAGCCTTGAAATCTTTATTCACCTCTATTTCATCAGTGTTTTTTAATATTACAATTAATTTCCTTTGTTTACAACTGTTTTATATGGTATTATGTAATATGTCATTGACTCCTTTGTAGTTCATGCATTACAGTTTAAGATTCCTTTGAAATCCTTTGTGTGAAAACTTTGTAATTTGATGTACTACATTCTAGGACCCCATTGCAGGACCCCATTGTTTCCAGAGGCAGGTAAGTGACACCTGTGGTCATGAATGTAAGCAAAAAGGTGGGGAGGGAAGGTGGGTTTTTTTTTTTTAGTTGTATAGAACTGCTGTCCAAATAATATGCTGTTAGGTTCTTCAGCTCTGTAGTTATAAGTGGAAAGGAGCTAGGAAATGTGGTTGAACTTCCTGGATCAGCATCCCTGACCAGGTTTGGAAGGGTAACTGAGTTAAGTTTTCTTTCCTTATAAATTGTATGTATTTTTACTCAGTAACAAAAATATTGGTCTTCCTATTTTGATATTCCAGAAGCATTTTTTCCTCTTCTGAAATTGTCATGGAGAACTTCCTTTGACACTCTTCATTTAGAGAATACTTTAGGCTCCTTTCAGTGAAATGTTTTTACAAAGTAGTTCTTGGTTTTCCTATAGTTAAGTTTGTTGTACCATTAAATGCCATTTCTCTCTTCCTTTTTGGGTAATTATATTTATACTTGAGCCTATTTTGGATGTAGTTGAATTCTGTTTGAGCAGTGTGCTAAGCTAAAAAGGGACATTGGGCTCAACCTTTTCCAAAGATTCCTTTTCCGTTGGTCTGGTGCCTATCCTTCTAGCCAAATATTGGTTCCTTAATTAATCCCAAGGGATTTCCCCCCACCCTACCCTATTCCCCACGAAGCTATAAAGTGAGAGCAGAAATACTACCTTGAGAGACATCCAAGACATCGTAAGTTTCATCTTTCCTCATCTTGCCTGGCTACAGTGAGCTGGAGGGGGGTGGGGTGTTGACAGAGTCTAGAGCCCTCCTGGCAGAGAATAAGGGTCAGAAAGAGAACTTGAGCAGGTGTCCAGGTCCTGACTTGCCTCGTTAGGGAGAATTCAGCCTTGTCTGTCTGGTTGGCAGGGCACCCTTAAGTCACTGATACCCAGCATTTCAGCAGTTTGCAGAAGAAGTGATGTGAAGGAACAGCTGCAATTGAGATCCAGCCTAGATCTGAAGAGATCAAGCGTTGAGTTCACTTGGAGGAAAGAGAAGGAAGGAAGCCTAGGGCTTAGCAGGGTAAGTTACTTTCCCATCAATCTGTCTACTTAGTTCATTTTATAATTCTGTAAAGTATCACTCAAGGGAGTGTTAATCACTGATTAAGCAGCTAATGTTGTCTGTTCTTTTGTTGTTGTTTTTGAGGCTGGGTGTAGCTCTGGCTGTCCTGGAACTAGCTTTGTAGACCAGGCTGGCCTCAAAATCAGAGGTCTCCTTGCCTCTGTCTTGCAAGTACTAGTGTTAAAGGTATGTTTTACTACCATCTGGCCAGAATAGCAATATTTTATATGTACTTTCCCCTTTCACGACCTTCTCCCCAGATTTGGCGGTTCTTTGGTTTTTGAGATACTGTCCAGACTGGCCTCCAACTCATGATCATCCTGCCTCATCTTAAGTGCTGGAACAAATGTTCATTAATGCCTGCCTTCCCCTACCCTTTAGAGGAGCCCAGGGGCCATCTGTACTTTCCCCTGTCTGCCTACCACTCTCTGAAAGGTGTATTTGCTGATGGATTTAAGAAACTACAGTGAGATCTCAGTCTGGAGACAATGAGAATATGACTCTATCTTATGTGAAATAAATGGGACTTTTGTTAAAGGGAGGGAGGAAGGAGGAGAGTGCTGTTTAGGAATAAGTTAATGATTTAGGTTAGACTTTGGAGACGAAGGATAAGAGTTTTTCTAGAAGCCAGCTTACATTTCTGTAGTCAGTGGTGTTTTCTCTTAAGTTATCAGGATGGCCAGAAGAAAAAACTAAGTCATCTCTTTTGTAGGTTAAGTAAGCTAAACGTTGCTGAGTTCTTAGTGCTTACCAAAGCTCCTTCTGGTTTCACCTTTGCATATACCCTGGGGTCCGTGTCCCCCCCCTTCATTTTTCTCAGTCTTATACCCCTTGAATTTGGAGGAGCTTGAGACTCTGGGAAAGCTAGAACCACAGACTGAGTGTACAGTATACAAGTTCAGAAATACAAACACACAACACACGTACGACACACATTTAATGACTTTTCATTCGTACATTCTCACCTTCCTGTCAGATAATGAGTACATTTATAATACAAGTCATCAGTATGCTCTGGATATACAGGAGTTTGTGACATAAGGGATTTTCCATAGCCAGTTTTTCCTCCAAGTGGTGTACAGCTTTTGATTTCTGTATAATAATATCCCACCCTCCTATGTATACACATTTCTGAGGGTGGATCTACCATTGGAGGAAGGCATTCTTGAATATACATAAATGAAGCAGTATCTTTCTAACTATGGAAAAAGGTTATGGGCTAGTTTGAGGAAGATGATCATTATAAACCCTTGGGTGTAAGGCTGTACATCTGTCCAGTTAGATATACTTTCACCTGGGGAATGGTTCTAGCATTTAAATGCTTTTCCTAGAATGCAGTAATTCTGGAAATACACTGGACATAGGAGTATGTATGATGATTAAAAATGGATGGCAGGAAGCTGGCTATAGCTCAGAATACTTGCCTAATTTATAAGCCCTGGGGTCAATCCCCAGCACTCCACAAACTGGGTGTGAAAGTACATGCTTGTAATTACAACACTAGCAAGTGGATGCAGAAGAATCAGAAGTTTATGATCATCTTTAGGTACACAGTTCAAGGCCAGCCTGGGCTACGTGAAACCCTGTTTCTAAAAAGACAAAATGAAGGCAGGTGGACTGGGGGTTTTACTTGTTGGCAGAATACTGCTTTTTATACAGAAGGCCCTAGATTTGATCCCTAGTTTCATGGAAGGAAGGATCAATTACAGGCATAATCAAGGTCTTGGAAATGGGGTTCAGAGGTATAAAGAGGAGTGATTCCCATCTACACTTTAGTACAGGGGCATGACTTGTAAAACTTAAGGCCGTCTGTTTTCATTAGGTCCAATGTCCTCACGGGTATTCTATAGAGAATGCAGATGAGCTTTCATTGTCTCTGTTTTGCGAACGCCAACAAACCATTCCCTCAGGTTGAGGAGAGATACTGGAAGGGTAAATGGAAACACAAAGGATGAGAGAAAGAAAGCGCAAGAGGAAAAATAGACATTTTTTCTTGATTCTTCTATGACCCTCAGGCCATTGATTTATAAGAGTAGCATTTAAAGGGGTATGAGCTGAATGATTCTGGAAATACTTGGATTTTGCCACCTGTGTACATTTTGCAGCTCCATGATGGTTTTGTACACTTCCCTTTAACAAATCTGATTGTAAAGGATCAAATGTCAGGCCATTTTTATAACAAAACATGATCCCTGATGTGAACTTTATTACTTTGTTTGCAGTAGAACCAGCTGCTGCCGGTGTTTTTATCCTCTATCCTTTTCTTATCCCTGGAGATAGTAAACCTGGATATTAATAGCTTTAGCCTCTTCATGTTTACAGATATCTTCATTTCTTAAGTACTATTTTTCAGATAGAGGAGAAATTTACATATGAAATTTAAAATTTTAAAAGTTAGCAATTAAATGGCATTTAGTGGTCTGTTGATATAGTTCAGTTGGTAGAATGCTTACCTAGTATGTATGAAACCCTGGGTTTGATTTCCATCACTTATAAACCCAGTATGGGCTGGGTGTGGTGGTGCACGCCTTTAATCCCAGCACTCGGTAGCAAAGGCAGGTGGATCTCTGGGAGTTTGAGGCCTGCCTGGTCTACTGAGGTAGTTCCAGGACAGGCTCCAAAGCTACACAGAGAAACCCTGTCTTGAAAGAACAAAACAAACAAAAATACCCAGATGGGAGTATACTTGTCATTGGAATACTCAGGAGATAGACTCAGAAGAATCAAAATTTGAAGTTCATTCTCATCTCCATAGGAAGTTTGAGACCAGTTTGGGATACTTGAAACCCTTTGTTTTTGTTGTTACTTATTTTGGTTTTTCAAGACAGGGTTTCTCTGTTGCTCGGGCTGTCCTGGAACTCACTCTAGGTACCAAACTGGCCTCACACTCACATAGATCTGCCTGCCTCTGCCTCCACCACTACCCAGCTTTAATTTATTATTTTTTTAATTTATTTATTATGTTTATAGTGTTCTGGGCACCAGATCTCATTATAGATGGTTGTGAGCCATCATGTGGTTGCTGGGAATTGAACTCAGGACCTCCAGAACAGCAGTCAGTTCTCTTAACCTCTGAGCCATCTTTCTAGCCCTATTATTATTTTTTAAAGTATATTCAAAGAGTTATAAACCTCTCTATCTATATCTAAAACATTTTCATCCAACTTTTGAGGCAGTTAATTCCTCTTCTCCATCCAGTCTATGATAACTGTCAATCTCTCTCCCAGTTTACTCCCTCCCCCTTGTTTCTTCCCAACATATAAATCCCAATGTGTTCATCATTCATTCATTATTGGACCTTTAGTTGTTTCAATTTACTATCTGGACAGTGTTGTTGTGGGCATTCAAATGAAAACATTTATTAGATAACCATTTTCAGTTGTTTGGAGGAACATACCCAAGAATGAAATTTCTTTATCATGTAGTAATTTTATGTTACTTTCCTCCCTTCTTCCCTCCCTCCTTTGTTCTTTCTTTTCTTTTTGTGAGACATTGTATTCCTTGCTAGCCTTGAAATCACTGTGTAGTCTAGTCGGGTCTAGAATATGCCCTGTGGCAGTTCCCCTGCCTCTGAAGTACTGAGATTATAGGTGAAAGCCATACATGCCTCCCTTTTATTTCTTTTTTGATAGCCATCTTTATGGGGCAATGAAAAGATATTTCATTATAGTTCTGATTAATAATTTCTTAATGACCAGTGAACATCTTTTCCACGTATTTTCCATTTGCATATTTCTTTGGTAAAATACCTACTTAAATATCTTGTCCCTTTTTAATGCATTTCATTTAATTTTTGAGAGTTTCAGACATATATATTATATTTTGATCAGATATACCTCTCATTCTTCCCTCAAATTCTGCATCCTCCACATACACCATACACACAACAGGACCACTCCCAAATTCATTTCTGTTTAAAACAACCCATTCAGTCCAGTTAGTGGTGCCTGTATGTATATGGGTTTGGAGCCATCCACTGGATCATGAGGACACTTCTTCCAGTGACCACACTCCCCTCAGTTGCCAGTAATTCTTCCGTTAGGAGTCAATACCTCCTGAACTCCTTCTCACACATGCTGGAATTTTGACTGGCTGATCTGTTGTTGTTTTTTTGTTTGTTTGTTTTTCAAGACAGGGTTTCTCTGTGGCTTTGGAGCCTGTCCTGGAACTAGCTCTGTAGACCAGGCTGGTCTCGAACTCACAGAGATCCGCCTGCCTCTGCCTCCCGAGTGCTGGGATTAAAGGCGTGAGCCACCATCTCCCGGCTTGATCTGTTGACTTTTGTACAGAGGACCACAGTCTGATTTTATGAATAAACACCATGTCATGTTCAAAAGACAGCATTTTGTGGCATTCCTCTCCATTTTCCAGTTTTATATTATTTTTCCTCCCCCCAGACAGTGTTCCCTGAATCTTGGTGGGCTTGGGTATGATATAGATGATAGTTGTCCCATTTAGGCCAGAGCACTCAAGGTCACATATTCTTAGCACTTAAACCAGTTATGTAGTTCTCCATTAACTACTGTGCATTGCAAAAACTGCTCTGACCAGGGCTGAGAGTAGTACAGCCCTCTGGGAATAAAAGTAAACATTTAGAAAGAAGTTTGACAACATAGGCACTTAGCAAAAACAACAGTCTTAGTTTCCCCCTAGGGCCTATGAATGCCCCACTCAGACTTTTGACCAGGTTTAGAGTACCAACCATGAATTTCTTCTTGTGTAGCTGGCCTCAAATACAATCAGTAGCAGTTGGTTACCTCCATAATGGCCATGCCACTATTTTACATTCAGTGAGCATACATTATATTTTATTTATAATTTTAGGGCCTAACACTGGGTAAGGCCATTGATGTTTTTTCTCCTCTAGTAGACAGCATAGCACCTCTGGCACTATGAAAGCTAGCTAGCAGAGAGAATGTTTCCTGGTCAGTTCTGTATGTCTTGTACCCAAAATATGTATTGTCTTCAGCTATAGGTCTTCAGCATCAACTTAGGATAGACTTTGCTTGTTTTTAGTTGGGTTGTTTATTGTCTGTTGTTCATAGGGTTGGGTGTTGTTTTGAGACAAGGTCTCACAGTGTGACTGTGTACTGGAACTCAGAAATCTGCCTGCCTCTGCCTTAAAGGTGTGTGCCAACACGGTTGGTAAGAGTTTTGTTTTTTGGAGTTTTTGCGGAGACGGAAGTTGAGACTGGGTTTCTCTGTAGCTTTGGAACCTGTCCTGGAACTAGCTCTGTAGCCCATGCTGGTCTCGAACTCACAGAGATCTGCCTGCCTCTGCATCCTGAGTGCTGGGATCAAGAGGTTTTTTTTTTATGTATTCTTATTAACCTCCTTATGAGTGTAACTTACAAATATTTCCTCTAATTCTTTGGGTTGTTGTTTCACACTGTTGATGGTATCTTGGCGTTTTTTCAGTAGATCTCAGATTATTCCTGTTAGTATTTCTACAGTCATTCTTTTCTTTGTATTCAAAAGTCCTTTTCCCTGTCTAGGTGCCTTTAGGGTATTCCTGTCTTTCAAGGTCAGTTCCAACTGCTTTCTGCTTCATAAAGTCACCTATAACTTACTCACTATGGAGATGTCTCTGTTCTCCCATTAGTGCTTTCTAGAAGATTTCATCGTACTTTATAGTTTGTATATGATACCCCCATTTAGATGAAATATATAAGTTTCTTCTTGTTTTCAATTGACAGGGTTTCTTTGTTATAGCCCTCTGCTGAGATCACAGGCATATGCCCAATAGAAATATATATAATATTTTACAAGTGGGGCTGGACAGAAGGCTCAGATGTTAAGAGCACTGGCTCTTCCAGAGGTCCTGAGTTCAATTCCCAGCAACCACATGGTGTCTCACAACCATCTATACTGAGATCTGGCACCCTCCTCTGGCGTGCAGGCATACATTGAGGCAGAATGTTGTATACATAATAAATAAATAAATCTTAAAAAAATATTTTACAAGTGATTTTACCTGTTGATCAGTAAATATACATTGGATAAATGGAAGTTTTAAGTTTTTCTAGTATGATCTTTCGTGAGTAGGCACAGGTAAAAGAAAAGACAGGAAAGGAAACTTGGGTATCACAGAGTCCCAGCTAGACTAGCGGATGGATATGACCTTGATTTTACTTCCAAATTTCCATGTTTTAGAGATTTTCTTCTTAATTTTCTAACACGTTTTTTTTTAAGATAAAGTGACCTTTTATTTTCTTTTTCCCCTTGATATGCTAAACTCTATTTTATTTTATTTTATTTTATTTTATTTGAGATAGGATTTCTCTGTGCAACAGCCCTGGCTTTCTTGGTATTCATTTCATATCCAGGTGTCCTCCTCGAACTCAGATTCGCCTTTCTCTACCTTCTGAATGCTGGGATTAAAGGTGTGTACCACCACCTCTGGCTGCTAAACTCTTTTAAATTCACATTTACCATTCCAATTTTAGTGTGTGTGCTGCTGAAGTGAGTGTCTGAATTGCTCTCTCTCTCTCTCTATCTATATATACACACACACACACATTGTGTTTATTAAGTTTATTATAATTTGCTCAAGCAAATTTAAATGCACTTTTATAAGTTTGATTCTGTTGTTGCTGTTGGGACAGAGAGTGTGTGTGTGTGTGTGTGTGTGTGTGTGTGTGTGTATAGAAATAAATTATTTCTTTCAAGCGCAATGATGTTTTGCCTGCATGTGTGTTTGGATGAGGGTGTTGGATCCTTTGGAATTACAGACAGTTGTGAGTTGCCATGTGGGTACTGGGAATTGAACCTGGTCTTCTGAAAGAGCAGCCAGTACTCTTTAACTGCTAAGGTATCTCCCCTGCTTTTACTATATTTTTGCCTTTCTGATGCTCATTTTATATTACACTGCTCATTTTATATTACACTTACTGTATATTTTTAAGTTTATTATAATTTTTTCAAGCAAATTTAAATGCACTTTTATAAGTTTGATTTTGTTGTTGCTGTTGGGACAGAGTCTCATTGTGTAGCCGTGGCTGTCCTGCAGCTTGCTGTGTAAACCAGACTGGCCTCAAACTCACGGAGTGCCTGACTTTGCTTCCTGAATTCTGAAATTATGATGCATGTAGCACCCCACCTGACTATTTTGTTCTTTGAAAAAAAAAAAGATTTTTAATTACATTTATTTATGTATGTGCACATGCATATACATGTGTGCTTGTGAGCGTTTGCACAAAAGTCAGAGAACAACTTTCAGAAATTGGTTTTCCTTTGATAACATGGGTTTCCAGGATCAAACTCCAGTTGTCAGTCTTGACTACTTACTGAGCCTCCGAGCTGGGCCCACTGTATTTTTTTTTTTTCTTAAACAGATAAACCAGTGCCTCTACTCCATATAAATTGTGGTTAAAAAAAAAAAGGCAGGTGGAGCGATGACTCAGCAACACTTAACTGCTGCTCTTCCAGAGGACCTCGGTTTGGTTTGCAGCAATCCATATGGTAGCTCAAAGCTGTCTGTAACTCCAGTTCCAAGGATCTGACACTCTATTCTGATCTTCACAATACCCAGTGTACACACAACACATGTACAAGAAAAACACCTACAAAAATCTTCTAAAGAAACTTCAGGACATGAAGTTATTCAGTGGGATAAAGTGTTTGCCCAGCAAGCTTAATAACCTAAATTTTACCTCTGGAATACAAATGAAAAGGCCAATTCTGTTGGGTCTTGTACTCTGTAAAGATTTGTCACTTTTCAGTAGCCAATAGCCAGTCAGCAGGTATAGGTGGGGTGACCAGAATAGGAGAATTCTGGGAAGAGGAAAGGCTGTCTGCAGTTGTCACCCAGACATAGAGGAAGCAAGATGAGAATGCCTCACTGATAAAAGGTACCAAGTCATGTGGCTAACACAGACAAGAATTATGGATTAATTTAAGATGTAAGAGTTAATTAAAATATGCATAAGCTACTGGTTAAACTGTTTTAATTGATATAGTTTATATGTTATTATTTGGGTCTGGGCAGCCAGGAAACAAATGAACAGTCACTGCTTACACAACTCCATAGCACATGTCTATAGTTTCTTTCTCTTAGGTCAAGATGGGAGATAAAGACAGAATTTCCTAAAAAGTTATGAGCCACCTAGCCTGGATTGCACAGTGAGGCATACATAATAAAAGGGATCCTGCCTCGAATGAGGTGGAAAGCGAGAGACGACTCCATAAGTTGTTCTAAATTCCACAACAACATTGTAGTATGTGTCAGTCTGCATTTTATACATAGATGTAAAATAAATTCTTTAAAATTATCAGTTAGTCCCATTTATCTTAAGTCCTAGTATTGTTCAGATGACAAGCATTAGCCAGATATCCTGGCAGGCAATAGATCCCAGTTTGTAAACATTTTTCATTTTTAAACTGTCATTTAAAAAAAAAAAACTTTTCTAGAGTCACACCATCTTTTTGTTAGGACTGAACCGTGACATTTTTATTCAGATGTTCCTAGTGAAAAACTGGTAGTTATTTAAATTAGCCTGATGTGCTTAATTATTCTCCCTGTCATAAAGGTTTTACAGTTTCTGGTCTCTGTTCTCATTTGCTCTTGAGTGATTTCATATCATCTTTGATGTACTTCTTATATAGACTCTTTTGGTAAAGCTGGATCATGACTATCAACACCAGTGATTATTATGCTTTAAATATTTTTCTTTTTGACCTTCAGTGGAGGCATTTCCACCAGTGTTACCTTTTATCCCATTGACCTCGAAGCATACCTCATAGAATAACTTGTCATGGCTGATGAGGTCCTAGTGGATGGATCAAGATGGTGCCTAGAGCCACAGCACTAGTTTAGAATGTGCTCACAGAAGAGAGTACAGGGTGGAGAGGAGAGCCAGCAGGACAGGTTGATGCCTGTTTATGTCTTATCTCCACAATTCATAACAGGTTAGGTTAGCCAATTTTCCAGCTACGGGTAACTTTGGTTAGCCAAAAACTTGTTGCATTTTCTTCTTTTTTAAAGTTAATTTAATAGTTTGTGCTGAGACATATAGGGTAGCACACAGCTGGGCTACATAAGAATCTGCTTCAGAACAAACAACAAAAGATTCTATGTGTTTAATATATTAGTACTTTATAAAAGAGTTCTGCTGGGGGATGTAGTTGACGTGGTATAGTGCTTACCTAGCATTCATGGATGTGGTCTTAGCACTTGGGAAATGGAGCCAGAGGATCAGGAATTCAAAGTCATCCTCAGAGACATAATGAGTTAGGGGCCATCCTGGTCTATATGACCTGTCCCCTCCCACTTCCCCAAAAAGTCAAACATTGAAAAGGCTAGGGGCTACTTTACTCAACCAGTTCCTATCCACTGCTTCTTTAAAGATTTTGTAATTCCTTACATTGTACATTTATTTACCTGTATATAGAACTTCATATATCACACACATGCATAAATTATATTGTATGTAATTATTCTCTTGTTTTTGTTTAAGAGCGGGTCTTGCTGTGCAGCAGGCCAGGCTGGCCTGCAACTCTGTGTTTTCCTTTACCTCCTGAGTATTATAGAAGTGAGCCACCATGTGCCTAGTGGTCTCCTCTTTTTTTTTTATAACTGCTTATAGCAATAACCAATCCATAACTAATAAATAAATTTTCTCATAGCCATGCCTCAGAGACTTGAATGTGAAGTAAAAGGTCAGGCATCTGAATACATGATTTCATTTTGTCAAATTCCATCCCTGTTTAGCATCTTGTCCCCAAGTTCATTGGGCATGGCTCCACGTTCACAACGGCGAAAGCACAAGAAATCTCCACCTGTGACTCCCATGGTTGTAATCCCACCTACAGAAATATCTTCGGAACCTTCAACCCTCTTAAAAGCTGACCCTAGCATTGATGCACTTGGCTTCATTTCCTTGGATAATAATGTACCAGGTCTGTCCCAGTTGATACTTCAAAAGCTGAACATGAAAAGCTATGAAGAATACAAGTGAGTGATCAGTCTATGGAAAAGGGGCTTCTTGTCTTTGGTGCTGCATATCAGAAGATGGAAGTATAATAGGGAATTTTCTCATTCTGACCTCTGTCAGTTGCGTTAGTATCGTCATTGTCATCATCTATGCCCCGGCAATGTTTAAGCATGCTTGGGCATCCTGTTTATGGCAGTTCTCCAGTTGTTTCTATCCTGGGGAGTCCTAGATGTTTGTATTATTGTCATACCCAAGGTTCCACAGTCTTCCTTTATGCTAGAAGAAATATAATTGCTAAAGAAAAATGGAAGTGGGATACATTTAAGATTACCTGAAAGTCTGTACAAGGTGAGGAAGCACAGAAGAGATTTGGGGGATACTCCTCACTGTTGTGCTTTCTTCCCTACTGTGTCTACAGGTTGGTGATAGATGGGGGAACCCCAGTATCAAGCTTTGGATTTCAGGGTCCACAAGAAATGTTCCAGAGGATGGAGGACACGTTTCGTTTCTGTGCTTACTGTAAAGCACTCCCTTGCAGACTTCCAGAACACAAGGTTCTCCGGCACTGTAAGAGGTGACTTGTGGAGTGCTAGTGGGGGAACATTCAGAAATAATCCTATATTAAGTGCTCATTCCTAGAGGAACAACCGTAAGGGTTTTTTGATTGTTTTTCTTTTGCTTATTTTTTTGTTTTCAGAATTAATAGTTTCTCATTTTGTGTGGCCCCAGTTTTAATCCTGTTTATTTTTGGTTTTGTGGGAGATGAAAGAGCAGATGTTCTTCTACTTTCTTCGAGTACACACGGGCTAAGATCACATCTGTTCCAAGAAAGTTGAGGTGGTCACTCTTGTTAAAAGAAAGCATGGGCAAAGTGTGTGGTTTTTTGTTTTGTTTTGTTTTAGTTCACCCTGCCCCCCCCCCCCTGGAAAGAGTGAAAAACGTAAATTTTAGATAGGTGGAGTGGGGCAGCACTGTATTGAGAATTGCATTCCTTTGGCTTCCCCTGCCAGCGTGGCTTCCCCTGCCAGCGTGGCTTCCCCTGCCAGCGTGGCTTCCCCTGCCAGCGTGGCTCCCGCGTTTGGATTTTCACCTGTAATTCTTCTCCGCATCCTCTTCACCAGTTCATTGGCCCGTCTTCGAACACACGCAGTCGCCTTTGTGACAGAGGGACATGTTTCTTTGGTTCATTCTCTCAGGTGCAGAAATGTCTATTACTGTGATACAGAGTGCCAGAGGTCAGATTGGCCAGCACATAGGAAGGTTTGTCAAGTGCTCCGTCTTGTGTCTGTGGATCGTGTCATGGAATGGCTTCTGGTTACAGGTAGAGTAGGGGTATTAGGAAATTGTATCTTAGTGATAATTGTTGAATATAGTTGGACAAAAATAAAAGCATGTTGTTTTAAGGGGAAAATGAGAAACGTGACAAGGAATGGGAATACTTGTAGTTACTAGGTGGCAAAATAAATATGACTTATTGAGGAAGGAATTTTGAAGCCAAGGATTTGCTGTTTGTTTGTTTATTTGTTTTTTTCGAGGCGATGTTTCTCTGTAGCTTTGAAACCTGTTCTGGAACTAGCTCTTGTAGACCAGGCTGTCCTCAAACTTACAGAGATCCACCTGCCTCTGCCTCCTGAGTGCTGGGATTAAAGGCGTGCGCCACCACCACCCAGCTGGATTTGCTATTTATTATTTTTTAAATTATGAATATTTGAGTATGTATTTGTGCACATGCATACAGTGTCCCTCGAGGCTGGAAGAAGACATGTCCTCCCCTAGAGTTTGAATTACAGACAATTGTGAGCTCCCCAATTTGGTTGGTGGGAACCAAACTCAGTTGTTTCCAAAAGCAGTGTGCCCTCTTCTTTCCAGCCCTGTTCACTTACTCCTTCTACCTTACAGGTGATTTTGTCCTACCCTCAGGACCTTGGCCATGTCCAGCAGAAGATATACAGGATTGGGATGCCTGGTTTACTATGAGGGGTTTACAGCTAGAGTCTACACTGAATACTGTTCTCAGTAGCAATGCTATGACCATGCTTTGGGCCAATCTAGGAAGGCCACAGCCAGAACCTGATGTTCTGTACAGCTCTTTGAAGCGGTTGATAACAGATGTTCTGTCACGGCCCTTGACCCTGGGCCTAGGGCTTCGCACTCTGGCCATAGATGTTGGGAAGACTGGAGGAAGCGCATTGCATATAGTTGGTGCTTCCCACGTGGAGACATTTCTCATTCGTTCTGGAGATTATGATGAGCTTGGCTATATGTTTCCTGAACATCTTGGCCTCCATGTGATCATGGTGGGTGTGGATGTGGGTGCTAACCTTTTACAGAGTTCCTCACCTTTACCCCTGGAGCCTGGAACAATTCAGCTTAGTGGCCACAAGGCTCTGTATCATGACTTCTGGGAGGAGCAGATAGAGACTGGGAATCTAGCCCATCCAGATTTGGTGGCTGCATTCCATCCAGGTAAGAGCTATTCATTCAGAGAAATACTGAGGAGCTGATTTTTCCACTCTGTGCTTATGTTTTAGTTAGGGTATTTATTACTAAGATGAAACGCCATGACCAAAAGAAAGTTAGAGAAGAATAGGTTTATTTGGCTTATACTTGTGCATTTGTAGTCCATCACTGAAAGAAGTCAGAACAGGAATTTAAGCAGGGCAGGAACCAGAAGGCAGAAGCTGATGCAGAGGCCATTGAAAGATGCTGCTTACTAGCTTGCTCCTCATGGCTTGCTCAACTGCTCTATTATAGAACCCATGACCACCCATTCAGGGATGGCCCCACCCACAATGGGCTGGGCTTTCCTCTATCAATCAGTATTTAAGAAAATGCCTTACAGTCCGATATTATGGACACATTTTCTCAATTGAGGTTCCCTCCTTTCAGATGACTCTAGCTTGTGTCAAGTTGACATTAAACTAGCCAGGAGAACTTACAACTGTTTTCATTTAGTCTTTATTTGTTTCTTTTTTGTCCTCATTAAATACAATATAATGATGAGCTTGGTTGATTATTTCCCATACATCCTTTGTTGAAGAGCTTGTGTAGCTCATGATGATGAGAACTGGAGATGAACAACATAAGGGTTTAGTAGATAATCAAAGGAGTGTCATGCTCTTAGGATATATCTCAGCCTTTCTTTGATCTCTTCATGTTTCCATTCTTGTTCTTCAGGTTTTCATGCCTCCCCAATCTTGATGGAAGCTTGGCTACCTACCCTGCTGCTACTTCGTGACCATGAGATTCCAACGTTGATTACTGTCTACAGGTTTTTACCTATTTCTGTTTCTGATCTTTTCTGACTCACTTTTTCCTGTGCACAGATGAACCCACTTTGATTCAGCTTGCCCCTTAGGAAGGTGTTCTTCCTTCCTGCATGAAGCTCTAAAACAATTTTCTGGGAAGAGTCCTTTATTACATAATCTGGGATTTGGTGAGACATTTGGAAGGGAAGAATAATCTTTGCCTCGTACAGCTTTAGAAAATTATTGGTATTGGTCATGAATTGCCATATACTTGAGCAATTTCTGTTCGTTCATAATTACCAGAGGGATTTTCCTTCTCTCTTCTGCAGCCAACAGGAATTGGAAGCCTCTTTGCAGATTCTGGTGAACTTGGATACACACATCATTGCTTGTGGAGCTAACCCTTTCACATCCCTCAAACCTGAACAGGTTTATTCTAACCCTAATAAGCAGCCAGTTTACAGCAGTGCCTACTACATCATGTTTCTTGGAAGTTCCTCCTGCCAACTAGAGAAGCAATTAGAAGAAAAGCAGATGACTTTTCAATAATTGAACCAAATCCTAACCTGAAAAATGGAATCTTATTCAAATCACCACATTGATGTCAAATTGTTGCCAGCTTTGAGATCTGCTGAATGCTAAACCTTATTCACAGTCCAAGTAAAGATTCTATACCAATGAACGCTCAGTATGACATGACTCATTTCTGATGTTAACCCTAGTCCTGGGAATTGAACACAGGGCTTTGTACATGCTAGGCATGTGCTTTACCATTGAGTTATGTTCCCAGCCATCTGTTGTCATTTGTTTTTTGTTTGCTTGTTTTGAGACAGGCTGTCATGAAGTAGCCTAGACTGGCCTTGAATTTACTAAGGTCTGCGTCAGCCTCACAAGTAGGAGGGGTTTCAAGCTTGTACAAGCTTGATTTAACTTGTGTCTAAAAAGTTAGCTATGGATAGGTGTGTGTGTGTAAGTTTGAATGTCTCACTGGTTTTTTTTTTTTGGTAGTCTCCAACAAAGTTGGAACTATATATGCATTTGCCACTGCACATTGGTATGTTGGGGCTTCTTAAATCACTTGTTTTCTATTTACAGTCACATACTACTCACCTGCACAAGAAAAAAAAAGACCTTAAAATTAGAGAATTTGGGGGCTGGAGAGATGGCTCAGTGGTTAAGAGCACCAGCTTCTCTTCCAGAGGTTCTGAGTTCAATTCCCAGCACTCACATGGCAGCTCATAACTGTCTATAACTGTAGTCCCTTGTAAGCCAATGTCCTCTTCTGGTGTGTAGACATACATGCAGACAAATACCATGTACATAAATATATAAATCTTTTTTAAAAATAATTAGAGGCTGTTTTTCTTGCCAAGGGAATGATTAGCATCAGATCTGTTTGGACTGCCGTACCAGTGCACATTGTGTCATTTCCTTCCCATCCCCAGGATGTTCGTTTTTAAAGCCTTGTCATGACCTTCATGTGCACATATAACTTTGCTTCTCCCAACAGACAATTGCACCTTTTTGTTGATTTTGGGGTTTTTGTTTTGTTTTTGAGACAGGGTCTCTTTGTATAACCCTGGCTGTCCTGGAACTCACTCTGTAGACCAGGTTAGCCTCAAACTTAAAGATCTACCTGCATGGCAGTGCACACCTTTAATTCCAGCATAGGGGAGGCAGAGGTAAGTGGATCTCTGTAGAACAGGCTGAAGAATAGACTTTTCACCGAATGTTGCTGGGACAATTGGATAGCCACGTGCAAAAGAAGAAAGTTGGAGCCCCAAGCCATATGATATAAAGTGAATTCAAATTGATGTGGGATGTGCATTGATTCCAGTACAAGGCAGGTATGGCAGGAGGTTTAGCAATATGAGGCTGTCCAGGCTACAAGCAAGACTAAGGACAAGAAGTTTCAGTACTCATGAGGTGTAGAGGCAGAAAATTAGTTCAAGGACATGGTGACATGGCAAGTTTGAGTCCTGCCTAAGCTATAATTGAAAGATTTAAGGCAAAGTGACCCTGGCAAGTCCCCTAGCAGGTCGTAGACCGCAGTGGATGGGAGACAGACAGATAACACTATGCAGAGAGAGCTTGGGTATTGGAAAGGGTATAAGGGTAAGGGATTATGGAGGGAAGAAATGGGAAGGGGGGGCAATGGTTGCCTCATCAGAAGAAGGCACAAGATCAGCTTGCCTTAGCAGGAAGAGGGTGGGGGGATTGGGGTGGGTGAAGCTTGTCTTTTAAAGGGACAGAGTACCTACATGACAAGAAAGGTCAGCAGAACAAAACAATGAAAACCTAGCCTCAGACATTCCTTAAAAATGTTCAGAGAGCTAAAGAACTTATATGTGTAGAAGAAAATATATAAGTAAATCTTCATAAACTTGTATGTTTTCTTAGATTATTATACCAGAAACACAAATGTTGGGTATTCGTGCTGACTCAGGCAGCTGGGTGAGGAAAGGGTTGCTTTCTCTGTGACCTGCATAGACTCCCCTTGTAACTCCTGCCCCTGGAGACCTCCAGCTGCGACCCTCCACCCTCAGACTACTCTGGCAGCAGGCCTGTAATGGCCTTCTCAGCCCCTGGAGGAGGGAGAGTGGCCAGGTCTCATTACAGAAAAAAGTGCCCGAGTGCAGGCCAGTAACCTCTCTAATTCCAGACTACCCCTCTCCACCCCCAAGAAACCCTATATAAAGCCGGCCTTGTGCTCAGTTCTCTGCTGCTGCTCACCAGAGTAGGAACAGCCACCCTTTCTCCTGTGCCTTTCTGAATAAATCTCTTGTTTGAGGTTTGTTGTGCAATATGACTTTGTGGTGTTCCTTGGCTCTCAACTGCCAGCATACCTCTACCTCAGAGCTGCAACACAACAAAAACAAACATTGGGTTATCTTAAATTTTATGTTTCAGATATCATCAAGAAAGTGAAAATGCCTTGGGCCGGTAGATGGCCCAGTGGTTAAGCCTGAAAAACATTGTTGCAGTCTCAGAACCTGCACGGTGGAAAGGAAGAAACATCTCCCTCAAGTTGTCCACTGACCTCTACATTTACAGGTGTCCATACAAATACATTTATCTTACACAAATATACATTTGTGTGTGGAGTGGAGTTGGAGTGTGCTGAGGCATGAAGGTACTTCCTCCACACTTGACCTGAGTGCTTACTGTAATGATCTGTCTAAGAGATAAGCCACGCCCACTTACCCCCCATCCCCTGAGGCAGGCTGATCTTCAGCTTTCTGGAGAGGTCTCTCCTCCCTCTCTGCCTCCACCTCTGCCTCTCTGTTCTCCCCTTCTCCCTTCCCTTACATAACTACTAAATAAATATCCAACCTCACTCTGCTTGGTGTGCCTCCGTCTGTCTCTTGCCCACCGCTGCCACATGGCTTGCCGGGGACATCACTACCGGGGACCAGCCACCTTTGGAGACCTGCAGCATGGTCTTATGTGTAGTCCCTGCCTAGGACTGGCTGCTCTCAGGACCCCCTGCCCTCTGCCTGCTGCCGCCAGAGATCCCGCAGCAAGCTCCTCGGGGATCCACAGCAATTTTTAATAATCTATTACGCTTACCTCACACTTAACTTGAATTTCATCCTTGGGAACCACATGGTAGAGTAAGAGAACCAATTCCTGCAAGTTGTGCTCTGGCCTAAGTACCCAAAACTATGTTTATGTTTTTGTTGTGAAAAGTGAAGGGCATGCTAGGGAGAAAGCTTAGTTAGTCATTGGAAGTGCGAGCCCTGAGAATGCAGAGATGCAAATCACTATCCAGCTAACTGTTCAGAAGCCTCAGTGTGACCATCCTTTAAAAAAACAGATGAAAGGTGTTATGCCCAAATCCGCAAAGTCCCCCAAAAGCCAACAAGGAGATCGAGTTGTCATCTGTCTCCACCCCCGCCCAGTATGTAAAAGCGAAAAAGCCTTGGTTTTATGCAAATTTGCAAACTCTAGGCATGTCCAACATACTGGAATAAACAGAAATCCCCAAGCTCAGCTAAAATAGGGTTTTATAAAGGTGGGGATGAGGGGTTTCTGAGGTTCAGGACCTTTATTAGCTGACATTTGTCTAGGGGTGTTCTGGTGAGTGCGTGCTGGTAGGTGGTCCTATCTGCAGCAGTTGGAATGTTAGGCATTTCTTTTGGGTGGTGCTCTGGTAATCTCAGTTTGTGGTTCTTTCTGCAACCAGGTATTGCTTCAGGGTAAACTACTGAGACTCAAGCCTCTATTAAATTTATTGATGGCTGATTCCTACTCTGGCTGGTGATAAAGGTTGAAAGTAAAGAATTTCCTTTGGGTGATCTGTTTAGATTTAGCGTATCACGGCTGGCTCTTTCAAAAGTTGGTTAACCTCTAGCCTCCACTCACCGTGTCACTGTATGTGTGTGTACATATGTAGGTTCTTTACATAAAGCTGCCTTAAATATTTAGTTGTAGAGTGAGTTTAACGAGCTAATGAATAAGAACGTTGAATCAACTCCCCTCTGCTTAGTTTTGCCTAATTCAGCTCCAGTTCCATCTACCCAGAATTCCCTATAACTGAAGGCAAATATGCCTTGAGTCCTCGAGATACCTAGGCCTGGAGCTTGGTTCCCCAGGACTACCAAGGGTGGAGCAGACACTCAGAGACTCAACCAGCTGAGTCACCTGTTGGGCGCTGAGTCCTGCCCGAGCTTGGGGGCGGACCCGACGGCCAGCATCCTTGCCCCGCCCCTATGCCACGCCCTTCGGCTCTTCCTGGTTCCATATTGCGGGAAAGCCGGCAGGGCTGTGACTCTGCTCCCCGGTTCAGGTGAGGACTCGCACCCCCTCCCCTTGCGGTTTTCCCGCCCGCCTGTCAGCTCGTTCCCATTCTGAGGTCTGACCTTCGTGCGGGAATGGTGAAGGCCTGCTCGCGTTACCAGCGGACTGGGCCTCCGGGTGGCGCGTTTTGGATGCTGGGGTGGGTTGGGCAGGCTTGTCCTGCCTGCGGGAGGACCGGGAAGGCCTGTTGGTCGGTTCTCTGTTAGGCTTGACAGAGTGGGGATGCCAGGGAGCAGTGGCACCTCGCTCTTGGTCACGTGGACCGCAGGTGAAGAAGGGCTTGGGGCCAGAGGGTGGCCCTGGTGAAACGCCTCTCTCGGGGTCTGGCTAGGGACCAGACTTTTTGATGACACAACAAATTTAGAGTAACTTGGAAAATTTATGCTGTGCTTAATGACACGTAAGACAGAATTCACAAACAAATGTAAGCTCGGGCTTACAACTCTTAGAAACTGCTCTAGGAAATAACATTCTAGATTTCATCCCTGGTCCTTGACCCGCATCAGATGTGTCCTTGTAACAGCCCGAGGAAACCGAGGTGCAGAGGGGGATTCAGAAGTGCACGGAGGTACAAGGTGCAGGGTTGCAGGCGGTGTCTTACTACGACCCATTACAGTTCCCACTTGCTGTCAGGTAAATAGTGAGCCATTCTGATAAGGTAATCTGTCCCAATTACAGTAAAGTATAATGAGCTACCTGCCATTAGGCAAGGAAAACATTAGAGGCAGGTGGAAGAAATAATTTTGCCTCTGGAAACAAGCCACCTCTCCTCAGTCCTCATGGTTGAGTAGAGAGCTGCCTACCCCTGCAGAGATCTAGTCTTTCAGCGTTACTTATCCCGGTCAGTGATTGCTTTAAATGACCCTTCCGGAACGTAGAAGCAGCTTTTGGGGAACTACTTCTGTTCTCGCCTAAGTCACAGTTCCTGTTTCTCCTCCTCCCTCTTTGCGCCCTCCCCTGCCCCCCAGCTTCTTGTGTTCCTAGGCCTCTTGCCAGTTGAGACACTCACATTACTTTGAAAGACCCACCCTTTCACTAGCTGACTCACTGGGTGGAGATGGTTTGGAGAACCAAGAATGAATTTTCCAAGTTTTCCAAAGGTTGTTTGTAACATAGAATGTTAAAGGAAAAATAAAAGCTTTAGTTTACTTATTAGCGTCCTGTTGCTTACGCAAAATGGAGTTAATTTGTTGAGTCACCCTGGGGTTTGTTTAGCTTTTTACAAAAACCTTAAAGTCTATCTTTTGACATGACCACGTGAACACTGCAGAAAGGGACATTAAAAAGTAAACTGCGTGGTTGTTATTCCCAGCTCTCCCAAGGATGCTGCCTCCCTTTTCTGCTTCAGTGTTGTCCTTTCAGTGAGATTGTCCACATACAGAAGAAAATGGCTCTATTTCTTTACCCGGATGCTCACAAACGACCCCTGCAGTTTTCCCCCTTGCTTCTTTTCCCTTGTGTGGTAGATGGCTTTATATAGGAATTTTTAAAGCTACTGCATTTTTAGACGTTGAATAGCACTTTTCTTTGACTATTCATGTGTTTTACTTGTCTTCTAGTGTTTGCATTTTTTGACAGTTCTTCATATTACAGATGATACTATAATGAATAGCCTAGTACATACGTGAATGCATTTGTGAAGGAATTTTTATGACCTATACAGAGATGGAATTTCATTCTAGTGCTTAATATTCTTTAAAATGCACTGAAATTATTGTTTCAATTTTTCATGTGCTGGTACCTAAATAGTCTTTGATTAATTAATTAATTTATTTTTGTTTCATTTTGAAAATCGAAAGGCCAGGCATTTGGGAGGCAGAGGCAGGCAGATGGATCTCTGTGAGTTTGAGGCCAGCCTGGTCTGCAGAATGAGTTCCAGGATAGGCTCCAAACTACACAGAGAAACCCTGTCTCAGGGGGAAAAAATCTTGGTAATCTTCCTATAATTCCTCTAGGCCTTAAAGGGAAGATTTAGTATAGTACCTAAAAATGTAGAGCTGGAACTCACTCTTTGATCAGAATAAATCATTCTTTTGTCTGTATATGTACATGCATATATGTGCAAGTTTGTGGGGCTGGAGCACATGCCACAATGTTCATATATATGGTGAAAGTCAGAGGAAAATCTTGGGTGTGATTTTCCAGTCACATATACCAGGCTAGATGTCCTTGAAACTTTTGGGAATTCTTCTGACTCTATGTCCCTTCTCACCATAGGGGTGCTGGAGTTAGAGACGTTTCTGGGGATCTGAACTCAGATCTTCAGGCTTCCGTAGTGGCGGTGCTCTCACACTCCCTCTCCATCCTCCCTCTCACTCCTCTCCCTCCCTCCTTACCTGTGAGCTACAGTGTCAGCCCTTTAACCTTACTGCAAGTGTGAGGACTGCAGCTGGATCCCTGTAATCCCTGCTTATGGGAGACAGAGGCCAGGCAGTCTGATTTAGCTAGACTAGCTGAACCAACTCTGCATTCAGAGGGAGTCCCTGCCTCAGTAAATAAAGCAGACAATGATTAGGAAGACTCCCAACATCAATATCTGGTCTACATACACATGCACATTTGCACACACACATACCTAAAAAAAAGAAAAATATTTTTCTTCCTCATAAAGGAGAATTTCTTTTTTTAATTAACATTTTTCCATTATTTTACATCCCAACCACAGTTTCCCCTCCTTCCTCTCTTCCCATTCCCTCCCCTTCCCAGTCCCTATTCCCCTCTCCATTCAGAAAGGGGCAGGCCTCCCATGGGCTTGGACAGAGGTAGGACTGAGCTCCTCCCCTGCATCAAGGCTAGGCAAGGTAATCCAACAGGTTCCCAAAAGCCAGCTAAGCTGCTACTGAGACCAAGTTACATACAGAGGGCCTAGGTCCATGCAGGCTCCCTAACTGCTGGTCCAGAGTGAAGGAGAATTTCTTAACCCTAAAGCTTTAAGTAGCTAATGTAGTCTTTGTTTTTGTGACCCTAAACATTATTTCACAAATTATTTTCTGATTTTCCCTTTTTGATCCTGACCTCTTTCATTTGGCCCATTGACTGTCCTTTGGAAGCTTCAGCCTTAAGGCACTTCCTCCTTATGGCTGTGAAGGACCGAGAAGAGGAAAGAAAGGGCAAAAATTAGCCTCTTCCCACTTTATACACAGGCCTTTGACTTCCAAGTAATTGAACCAGACTGAGTCATTTTTCTTGTTATCTTACTGTCTTTGTGTGGTCACATGTATGTGTTCATGTTTCTGTATACGTGTGTGTGTGTGTGTGTGTGTGTGTGCGCACGCACGTAGACCAGAAGCTGACATCAGATGTCCTTCTCTATTGCTTTCCATCTTCATTTCTGAGCCAGTCTGATGGGGGCATTTTCTCAGTTGAGTTTCCCTTTTCTAGATGATTCTAGCCTATGTCAAGTTGATAAATATATAACCAACACTGTGTGTTCCCTGCCAAGCCTGACAATCTGAATTTGATCCCCGGAACCCACTTAATGAAAGGAGAAAATCTGCTTTCTCAGTCGGCCACAGTGTGAGACCCTGTTTCAAAAAAAGGACGTGGGGCGGGAGCAGGCTCTCACTTTTGGATCAGTGAGTTCTTGGGTGATTTAGATGTATAGAGTCTGTATTATTTAAAGGACATGGGGCGGGAGCAGGCTCTCACTTTTGGATCAGTGAGTTCTTGGATGATTTAGATGTATAGAGTCTGTATTATTTAAAGAAAGGAGAAGAGATTTAAACTGAAGTAAGGAATGATGCATGACCACAGGCTTGAGGTCTAGGACAGTATAACACATAAGCATGATTGAAGTCATAGAGATTTCACACTGGGGAATGAGGGTTGGGGCTGGAGTTATGGCTCATAAAAGAGCACTTGCTGTTCTTGCAGAAGACCTCAGATTAATCCCAGCCCCCATGTGGCAGCTCACAACTGTCCCTTATTAACTCTAGTTCCAGAGGATCTGGAGTGTTCATTCCACAGGCACTGGACAAGCATGTGGTACACACACATGCATATAAAAACAATTAAATCTGTTGACTATAAATTGGAGTCAGTACCAAGAAGACTGGAATGTTTGACTAGTAGTTTTTGGGGGGGGTGGTTGTTGTTGTTTGTAATTGTTGTTCTGTTTTTGTTGGTTTTTTGTTTTTGAGAAAACGTTTCTCTGTGTAACAGTCCTGGCTGTCCTGGAACTCACTATGTAGACCAGTCTACTTTCAAACTCAGGAGGTCTGCCTTCCTCTGTTTCCTGAGTACTGACTGGGATTAAAGATGTGTGCCACCACCACTTGACTTGTCCAGTCATTTTCCCCCTGATTTTACTGGGGTCTGAATCTAGGATTATGTAGGCTAAGTGCACACTTGTTACTTGTAAGACTCTGTCAGTGAGTTTTATTTGATATTTCAGCAATAAGTACATCATTGTGGATTTGGGATCTTAGGGATAGTTTGTGGAAAGGGCAGCTAATGGTGACGCCCAGGGAGATTGGGAAGCAGAGAGTATAAGCAAGAGCGTGAATGGGCTAGTAATCTTAGTGAGCCAGTCACCCTGCTCTGGTGAGATCTGCTACAAGGACATGCCATGAAAATTGAAATGCAGGAAGAAGAGGAGGGTCATTTCCACAGATGGGTAGAAACGATTGTGTTACTTCCTGCACTAGAATATTGGGTAATTTAAGTAGTGACTCTGGTAACAGGTAAGGACTGGATATACTCTGGTGGAGGGAGTATGTAATTCCATAGGAATGGATATACTCTGGTGGAGGGAGTATGTAATTCCATACCAGACCTGAAGGCTCTTGACTGCTTTTTGTTTTCCTCGTGGTGCAGGCATCAAACCCAGAGATTCTAGGTGTGAGTTACTACACCTGACTTTTAAATGGCTTTACACACACAGTCTACTACCTGACTACATCTCTCTCAGTATCTCATTTTATTGTGAGATCCATCATAGTGACACCCCCCCTTTCTCTTGTATTGATATTGTTCTACATTCTTGCTAATCTGTGTTCAGCACGTTTTAGAACATTGCTTTCACCTTTACTCATTAATTTACTATCCATTTATAAGTGTTTTAAGTCAGCCTTGGGTGCCATTAGGGTTTATCACAGAGCTCTGAAGCTTGGCAATTAGATTAGGGTGGTTAGCTGGTGAGCCCTTGGGGCTTGCTGTCTCCATCTCCCCTTGACTAGATCACAAGTGTGTACCACCACATCTGGCTTTTTACATGATGCTGGGGACTGAAATCAGGTCCTCAAATTCCACAGTGATCGCTTCCCCAGGCTGTAATTGGAGGATATATAGACTATACGGTACAGCTGGTAAGAAGAACGCATTTAATAAGCTTTGCATATACCCGTAATAGATTATCTATGCTGTGTGATAGGGAGGTTGTGTGCGTGCTTTCAGCCAAGTGTGAGAAGGTTGGAGGACAACAGGAAGTCAGTTCTTCTACCATGTAGATTCCAGAAACTGAACTTAGGTTATCACATTTTGAAGCAAGTGCCTTTAAGCCTCGGAACCATCTCTCTGACCTCCTTATTCACATTTTAATGTGCACCATAATACAGTTTGTATGTGTATGTTTCTCTTTCAAAGGCCTTAAGATGTACAAGAAATTATAAAGGACTTTTTGTTGTTGTTGTTGTTACAGAAATGTCATATCCAGGCTATCCCCCTTCAGGCTACCCACCTTTTCCCGGATATCCTGTAAGTATTGTTGTCAAAATACTAAAATCATTGATATCTTTCATGCAGTTGTTATATAGAAGTAGCCTGTGCCCTAGAGCAGGGGTTATGAACTCGAATGTCCAGAGCTATAAACCAGTGAGAAAAGGCTAGTGTTATCTGGAAATGGACACATGGAGGCTGCTAGCTCAAGTCCAGTGTGCCGTGCAGGGAGCACACCTAGTGGTGCTGGAGTAGGTTAGCTTTTCACAGAAAGCTAAAAACCTGCATTTTATGTGAAATGGCCCAAGGTTTTAGAGTTTGTTTTCTGAGACAAGCAATACAGCACCATCAGAAACTAGTGATTCTACAACAAGACCTGAGCATCCAAATGCAGATGAAGCAGAAGAAAATGACCAAAAAAAAACCTTTATGAAAATGATTGAGGCCCTTAAAGGAAATGAAAAATTCCCTTAAAGAAATGGAGGAAATGACAATCAAAAAATTGGAAGAAATCACAAATCTCTTAAAGAAAGCCAAGAAAAAGCAGTCTGTCAGGTGAAAGAAATGGTTCAAGACTTGAAAACTGAAATAGGGGAAGTAAAACTGAGGGAAATCTGGAAACAGACAATCTGGGTAAACGATTAGGAACTACAGATGCAAGCATAAACAGCATATACAAGAGATGAAAGAGAGAATCTCAGGCGTTGAATATACAATAGAGGAAATAGATTCATCGGTCAAAGAAATAGTTGAATCCAACAAATTCTTAACACAAAATATCCAGGATATATGGGGCACCATGAAAAAAACAAACCTAAGAATAATAGGAATTGAGGAAGGAGAAGCCCAGCTCAAAGGCACAGAAAATATACTCAACAAAATCATAGAAAAAAAACTTTGCCAACCTAAAGAAGGACATACCTATGAAAATACAAGAAGCTTGCAGAACACCAAATAGACTGGACCAAAAAAGAAAGCCCCCTTGCTGCATAACAATCAAAACACTAAACATACAGAATAAACAAAGAATATTAAGAGCTGCAAGTAACATATAAATGAAGACCTATTAGATATACTCAACTTCTCAATAGAAACGAAAGCCAGAAGGTCCTACTCAGGCAATATGCAGACACTAAGAAATCACAGGTGCCAGACTACTATATTCAGCAAAGCTTACAATCAACATAGACAGAGAAAACAAGATATTCCATGACAAAACCAGATTTCAATGGACTCAATTCATTTATAAAAGGACACAGGCTAAGAGATTGGATATGAAAACAGAATCCGTCCTTCTGTTACATAAAAGAAATCTACCACAATCTTAAAGACAGACATTACCTCAGAGTAAAGGGTTGGAAAAAGATTTTCTAATCGAATGGACCTAAGAAACAAACTGGTGTAGCTATCCTAATATCTAACAAAATAGTTAACAGGAAAAGTCATCAAGATGAAGTCTCAATTCTGAACATCTATGCCTCAAATACAAGGCCACCCTCATTTGTAAAAGCGACATTACTAAAACTTAAATCACACATTAAACCCCACACAGTAATAATGGGAGACTTCAGCACCCCACTCTCACCACTGGACAGGTCTACCAGACAGAAACTTAATAGAGAAACAAAGATCTAACAGATGTTATGATTCAAATGGCTTAACAGAATCTGTAGAATATTTCACCCAAATATACCTTCTCAAACCTCATGGATACTTCTCCAGAATCAACCACATACTCAGTAACAAAGCAAACCTCAACAGATACAAAAAATTGGAATAACCCCCTGCATCTTATCAGACCATCATGGCTTAAAGTTAGAATTCAACAACACTAATTGCAAAAAGCTTACAAACTCATGGAAACAGTGCTCAACTCATTCACCCTTGGGTCAAAGAAGAAACAAAAAAGAAATTAAAGACTTCCTAAAATTCAATGAAAATTACTGCACAACATGCCCAGACTTATGGGACACAAAGAAGGAAAGTTCATAGCACTAAGTGCCTATATAAAGAAGCTGGAAAAATCTCTCACTAGGGAATTAACAGCATATCTGAAAGCTCTAGAACAAAAAGAAGCATACTCTCCCAGGAGAAGTAGTTGACAGGAAATAATCATACGGAGAGCTAAAATCAACAAAATAGAAATAAAGGAAACAATACAAAGAATTGGTTCTTTGAGAAAATCAACAAGATTGACAAACCTTTATCCAAACTAACCAAAAGGCAGAGAGAATATCCAAATTAACAAAATCACAAATGAAAAGGGAGCCGGGCAGTGGTGGCACACACCTTTAATCCCAGCACTTGGGAGGCAGAGGCAGGCGGATCTCTGTGAGTTCGAGATCAGCCTGGTCTACAGAGCTAGTTCCAGGACAGGCTCCAAAACCACAGAGAAACCCTGTCTTGAAAAAAAAAAAAACAAAAACAAAAAAACAGAAATGAAAAGGAGGACATAACAACAGACACAGAGGAAATGCAGAGAACCCCAGGTCATACTTCAAAAGCTTGTACTCCACAAAACCTTAAAGAAAATGGACAATTTCTTGGATAAGTATCACATACCAAAATTAAATCAAGACCAGCTAAGCAAATTAAATAGACTTATAACCGCTAAGGAAATAGAAAGGGTTATCAAAAGTTTCCCAACCTAAAAAAAAAATCCAGAACCAGATGGTTTCAGCGCAGAATTCTACCAGATTTTCAAAGAAGAACTAGTACCAATACTCCTCAAATTGTTCGAAACAATAGAAACAGAAGGAACATTGCCAAACTCTTTTTATGAGGTTACTATTACCCTGATAGCCAAACCACACAAAGACACAACTAAGAAAGAGAATTACAGACTAATCTCCCTCATGAATATTGATGTAAAAATACTCGGTAAAATACTGGCAAATTGAATCTAAGAACACATCAGAAAAATCATCCACCATGAAGTAGGCTTCATCCCAGAGATGCAGGGATGGTTCAACATACAAAAATCCAGCAGTGAAATCCACCATATAAACAAACTGAAAGAAAAAAATGTGATCATCTCATTAGCTGCTGAAAAATCGTTCGACAAAATTCAACACCCCTTCATGATAAAGGTCTTGGAAAGACCAGAGATACAAGAAACATACCTAAATATCGTAAAGGCAATATACAGCAAACAACCAACATCAAACTAAATGGAGAGAAACTCAAAGTGATCCACTGAAATAAGGAACAAGACAAGGCTTTTCACTCTCCCTGTATCTATTCAATAGAATACTTTAAGTTCTAGCTAGAGCAATAAGATCTAAAAACAAAAACCAAACAAACAAACAAAAAAACTGAGATCATGGGATCAAATTGGAAAAGAAGTCAATCTTTTCACTGTTTGCTGATGATATGACAGTATACATAAGTGACCCCAAAAATTCCACCAGGGAACTCCTACAACTGATAAACACCTACAGTAGGTCCAAGAGCATTGCAGAAACCATACATTCCTCCCTAGGACGGAGGGGAGGAACTATAATATATTTCCATATTCCATGACAGTGAAGGGATCTGAGAGGTTGGTTAGCACTTGATAAGTACATGCCTATAATCACAGCACTAGGAAGTGGAGGCAAGAGGTGTAGGAGTCTGAGGGGAGCCTGGGCCGTATCGTCAGGCCATGCAGGGAAAGACGGAGGAAGGAGGTAAGAGTTGGTTCTGATTCTCATAGAAAAATGGGGATGCTTTTGTCCACCTCACATATAATTAAATTTAACTGAGTTCTGATAAGAATCCTGACAAAGTGGAGTAGGATTGATAAAGTAATATGAGACCGGAACTGATAATAATTATTTAAATAATTTATTCAACTGTATTTCATGTATTTTAGTATAAAGATGTTAGATCCCCTAGAACTGGAGTTACAGACAGTTGTGAGCTGCCATGTTGGTGCTGGGAATTGAATCTGGGTCCTCTGGAAGAACAATTAGTGCTCTTAACCACTAAGCCATCTCTTCAGCCCCGATAAGTTTTTTTTAAGTTAAAAAAATGCATCAATAGTACTCTTTGTTCTTTTGAAATGGGGCATATATTTCTTTGATTATGTCCCCTTAACATGTTTCTGATTTTTCCAGCCTGCGGGTCAGGAGTCATCTTTCCCCGCTCCGGGTCAGTATCCATATCCTAGTGGCTTTCCACCAATGGGAGGAAATGCTTACCCGCCAGCACCAAGTGGCAGCTACCCAGGAGCTGGAGGCTACCCTGCACCTGGAGGCTATCCAGCCGCTGGGGGCTATCCAGTTACCCCACACCCAGGGGGAGCTCCAGCCTATCCTGGAGGTAAGTCATATGGTCATGAGGTTAGTAGTGACTTGAGATTTGCTGAAGCATTCTTTTTTGTCCCTCCCTTATCCTCATCATTATTCCTTGAGAGTTCAGAGTTACTCTTAGTTTACCATGGACAGCTAAGACTTCTGTAGCAAGCTCGAGTGAAAATTCTCAGGGTTAGGAGAACTGGAAGACTTAAGATACTTTCCTGTGAAGGGAACGTAGTACTGTTCTTGATATGAGAGACCCTTGTAGAATATGCCACTTAGTTATCAGTAATCTTAACTGATTGAGAGGGCCTGGAGTTCTCAACCTTCCTTCCTAATGCTGCAACTGTTTAAGTCAGTTCCTCATGGTGTGGTGATCCCCAACCATAGAATCATTTTTGTTGCTATTCCCTAAGTATAATTTTATTACTGTTATGAACCGTAATATAAGTATTTTTGGAGACAGAAATTTGTCAAAGAGGTTGTGACCCACAGGTTGAAAACCATTGTCCTGGGGAGATTGAACACTGACTGCTCTTCCAGAGGACCTGGCTTAGGTTCTTAGCACCCACATGGCAGCTCCCAATTCTCTCTCTCTCCATTTCCAGAGGCTCCTAGGACACCGCATGAATGTGCTATATTGATATGCAGACACACGCTTCATATATATAAAATAAAAATAAATAAATCTTTTAAAAAAAAAGCAACAGAGGCTTTAGTTAGCATCACATGGTACCTTTATGCATTAGGACCACTTTAATCTAGATTTAAGAAAAACAATATAGGGCTGGAGAGATGGCTCAGAGGTTAAAAGCATTGCCTGCTCTACCAAAGGTCCTGAGTTCAATTCCCAGCAACCACATGGTGGCTCACAACCATCTGTAATTGGGTCCGGTGCCCTCTTCTGGCCTGCAGGCATACACATAGACAGAACATTGTATACATAATTAATAAATAAATAAATATTTTAAAAAAAGAAAAAGAAAATATAGGGGCTGGAGAGATGGCTGATCAGCTAAGAGACCTTACTGCCCTTGCAATGGAATTGGGTTCGATTACAAACACCCACATGGTGGTTTACCAACCATCCATACCTCACTTACAGGGGATGTACTGCTTTCTTCTGACCCTGAAGACACCAAGCACACATGTGGTGCACATACATACATGCAGGCAAAACACGCCTGCATAAAACAAAAGGAATAAATATAATTTAAATATTTATTTATTTATACAGTGTATAGTCTGTGTGTATGTCTGCAGGCCAGAAAAGGGCACCAGACCTTATTACATGTGGTTGCCAGGAATTGAACTCAGGACCTTTGGAAGAGCAGGCAATGCTCTTAACCACTGAGCCATCTCTCCAGCCCCTAATTTAAACACAATTTTTAAAACCCACCATAGTGACTTATATTGTAAGTTACTAAAGAAGCTAAATGTGCTAAAACTTTTTTTTTTTTTTTTTTTTTAAGACAGAGTTTCTCTGTATAGCCCTGTCTGTATAGACTGTTCTGGAACGCACCCTGTAGACCAGGCAGGCGGTCTTGAACTCTGTGATCTGCCTGCGTCTGCTTCCTGAGTGCTTGGGTTAAAGGTGTGCAGCACCAATTCCTGTCCTGTCCTGTTACATATATGTATGTGTGTGAACACAAGTGCCAGAGTACATTTGTACAGGTCAGAATCCGTTCCTTTCTTCTACCGTGTGTGCTCTAGGGCTCAAACTCAGATGGCGAGGCTTGGCATCAAGTGCTTCTACCGACTAATCCAGCTCACTGACCTTTAAACATACTTTCCAGTTTGCTGTGAATTGATGGCAAGTTTAATGTACATGTATAGAATGACTGCTACAGCCTGACTAGCATATATTTTCTATTGATTATGGTAGATATTCTAAAAAATTTTCTCTGTATTATAAGACTTGATTTTTTTTGGTTGTTTTTTTTTGTTTTTGTTTTTGTTTTTGTTTTTTTGTTTTTTGTTTTTTGGATACAAGGTCTTCCTCTGCATCCCAGGCTGACTTGAAATGCACTGTGTATCCCAGGCTTGCTTGGAATTCACTGTGCAGCTCAGACTGGCCTTCAGCTCCTGGCAGTCCTCTTGGCTTAGCCTCTTGAGTGTTAAGATTACAGGGATGAGTTTCCACGTGCCGCTTATTGAAATGTTGTTTATTTTCTTAATCCCTTAAGGACAAGGCTTTGGGGCCCCACCTGGTGGAGCAGGCTTTTCTGGCTATCCACAGCCACCTGCACAGTCTTACGGTGGTGGACCAGCCCAGGTTCCAGTACCAGGTATGTTCTGGCTGTCTAGAGACAAACTGTTATGATTCTGCAAGCTTTTCAGTTGTCAGTAAACTTAAACTGTATTTGAGATAGTCTTGAGGGAATATTTATATAATTCTGTAAATGATGGTAAGTATATGGATGGTATCATGGAGTGTCAATTTGATGTGAGGTCATAATCAGTAAAATGGAGATGAGGAACAATTTTCCTCTATTAACTTGTCTGTCCTAAAGCCAGAAGCCAATTCTTAAAGGAACCACCCTCAGGACTGTACCCTGACAAGCATTCCAGATAGACTCAGAATTGAAGCTAGTTCAAGGTTTCTGTTTGTTTGTTTGTTTTTAAAGTGGGGAGGAACTTGATAGATGGCTCAGCAGTTGACACCACGTAGTATTCGTTTTTGTTGTTGTCTTTTCAAGACAGGGTTTCTCTGTGGCTTTGGAGCCTGTCCTGGCACTAGCTCTGTAGACCAGGCTGGCCTCGAACTCACAGAGATCCGCCTGCCTCTGCCTCCCGAGTGCTGGGATTAAAGGTGTGTGCCACTACCCAGCTTCCATGTAGTGTCTTTAGAGAGGACCTGAGTTTGGTGCCCAGCACCCACATCAGGCAGCTTACAGCCTATAACTCCAGTTCCAGTGCATCCTCCACATCTTGCCTCCACAGGCACCTGCACACTCACATACACAGTTTAAAAAATAAAATAAGTCTATCAAGTACACACACATATACATACATATATACATATACATACATACATACGGGTCTTTTTGAAAGATGTTTGTCACCCAAGTTGGTTTTCCATTAAATCAATATTTAAAAGATTATCCTGGAACTGAAGAGATGGCATAGTGGGTTAAGAGCACTGGCTACTCTTCAAGAAGGTCCAAGTTCATTTCCCAGCAGCCACATGGGACTCAGTTTCAGAGGATCCAACACCTCTTCTAACGTTTGCTAGCAGCAGGCATGCATGTGGTGCACAGACATAGCATGTAATAAAAACATCCATACACAAAACATGAAATAAAATAATTAAGTTACATTTTTTAAAAAAATTTAAACAATAGTAACATTAAAGATTATCCTAGTGAAGGTTATGGGATTGGGAAGAGGACAAGTCTCAGTCCGCCCTGGAATGCTCTGGAATGTCTCAGTCTGCCCTAGAATGTTCTGGAATGATCCAGGCTGTCCTGGAATGCTCTTAGTAGAATGGTCTGGTACTAAACTCACAGAGATCCTCCTGCCTCTGCTTCCAGAGTGCTGGGATTGAAGGTGTCTATCACCATTCCCAACCAGAATATTAATTTTAAAGAAATTACATGAGGTATCATTGTTATCCCTATTTTGCAGGTGAGAAAACTGCAGCAAAGTTGTAAAAGCTGTAAGACTCCCTCTCTTAGTCCTGGGCAGCCAGGAAGTGTCTGAGGTTAATGGTATGAGGTACCAAGCCCGAGGAAGAGGTTTAGAAGCATGGGGTGGAGGAAGAACAGAAGGGAATAATGTATATGGATAATGTATATGAATGTAATACATATATTACAGAAACAGAAATGAAATGAAAACAGAGGGTGGCAGTTTTGAGGGACACAAGAAAGATATGGGGATGCAGGTATGAACAAGAACAGTGACTAATATGTGAAAAAATTTTCAGAAACTCACTGTCTTGTACCTTAAACAGCTTCTTATCTCAGTGAGTAGCATAGCATGAACGTGTGCTTCTGTGTTCCTGGTGATTAATAGAAACAGTTTGCTGTAGCTTATTTTTCTTGTTTGCTTTTAATCCACAGGTGGCTTTCCTGGAGGACAGGTGCCTTCTCAGTACCCTGGAGGACAAGCTCCTTACCCTAGCCAGGTACTTTTGCTTTGTCTCCTTAAGTTTTTGCTTCTACTCTTTAAATTTAGTGCAGGTCCCTGGGACTCATCACACTGAGGAAGGGTGTCACTCCTTCGTGAGGCAAAGGACATGGTCTGTCACAGTAGTGGTAGACGTAAACTTTACTTTCGGTGGACACTATGGCCCTTGGCCCATCTGTCCTAAGGAGTGTCTGATACATTTGGTCCGAGCAGCTTCATCGTTCTCACGGGTGATGATGCTCTCCCTCTGTCCTAGAGAAGGCATGTGTGCTCTCAACATCGGTCATAGCGTCTCTGCCCTCAGCAGTAATTGGGGCTATGAACTTGGGTGGTGGGTGGGTGGTATTTCTCAGACTTAGGGGTGGTTGTTTTCTGTTTTTCCTTTATAATTTTCCACTCTCCTTTCAGATCAATACAGAATCCTTTTCTTCTTATCCTGCTTTCTCTCCTGCTTCTTTGGATTATAGCAGTGATGTGAGTAAGGACCGCCAGCGTTCGTTAATTGCTAGGTCCTGTATATATGACAGCTTTGTTTCTAGAACTCACTGTGTAGACCAGGCTGGCCTCGAACTCACAGAGATCCAGCTGCCTCTGCCTCCTGAGTGCTGGGATTAAAGGTGTGCACCACCATGTCTGCCCTTGTTTCTGATTTCTAGTGTTGGATTTTTACTTCCCCTCAATGCTTGTCAGAACTTTATTTATTGATTGATTTTTACAAAAGTTCTTTACAAAGTACAACAGGCTCCAAGATAACACTTCCTTCTCGCTATAGGTGGCAAAGATGTTATGGCAGGGAATCCAGATGTTTAAATAGGAATGAAAGAGGCTACCATCATTTCAAATAAGAGGAACAGCTTACTTTTTGCCAAATTTTTTAATTCCACCCATGGCAGGGTCCCTTCCCCATTGCCTGGACTTTAGCTCTCTGAGTCTTGTCTGCTCCTCTGTTTCTGCTTGAAAGCCTTGTCTTCCTGTCCACCTCCTTGGCCTGCTGATATGGTGCCTACAGACAGCCCCTTCACCACACCCTCTGCTTGGCAGGACTTTATCCATGGAAGCTGGTTAAGTCTGTTGAACTGATTTCTCAATAGTCGTCTAAGACTTCCCATATTTGAAGTTTCCCCTACCTTTCTCCATATATAGTTCCCCATTTTCATACTATTTTATTAATTGTTCTATTCTTTTATTCTTTTATGTCTTTTGCCAGTTACTATAATAGGATTGATAGCTTGGATCCTTGCCTTTATCTTGACTTTTAGAAATTATTTCTGAGTTACATACTAGGGAAGGTCTGGCATTTCCAAACTTGCCTTTGGCAAGGTAGGGGAGGGACTGTGGACATGGGAGAGGGACTACTCAGCAGTCTTGTTGGGTTTTGTTCACAGTGGGGATTTATTGAATTTGAGAAGCAGAGAGACTTGAGAACCTTGTTCAGGACTGCACAGCTAATAAAAGACTAAAGTGAGACTAGGTCATAGTTCTTCTGACGGGCAGAGTCATAGAGGGATTCCTCTAAGACCGCAATACATTGTTTTAACCCTTTCAAAATTATTCATCTTATAAATCTGTAATTAATTGTGGAAGAGACTTTTGATTTTCCTTTAAGCATTGTGTGTGTTCCTGTTTCTGTCCATGTGTGTGTTCCTGTTTCTGTTCATGTGTGTGTTCATGTGTGAGGCACACGTCTGGACAGAGGTACCACAGTGTATGTGGTGGTCAGAGGACATCTTGGTATGTGTGTTCCTGTTTCTGTTCATGTGTGTTCCTGTGTGAGGCACACATCTGGACACAGGTACCACAGTGTATGTGGTGGTCAGAGGACATCTTGGTATGTGTGTTCCTGTTTCTGTTCATGTGTGTTCCTGTGTGAGGCACACGTCTGGCACAGGTACCACAGTGTATGTGGTGGTCAGAGGACATCTTGCAGAAGCTGATTAGCTCCTCTACCATGTGTGTCCCTGGGAATGAACTCAGGTGTCAAGTTTAGCACCAACCACCTTCACCCAATGAACCATGTTGTTTGATAGGCTATAAATTATTCATCTTTTAAGTTAACATGTAAAGTGGTGGGCTTCATTATAATTTTTATATATAATATATGTATGCATACATATACGTGTGTGTGATTTTTACTTCTTATTCATTCCCTTCCTCCACTGCCCTCCCACCACCCCTCCCCATCCCTCACGGTGATCTCTTTCCTGTTTGTGTATGACCTCTTCTGCATTCATGCCTCATGTTTTCTGTTACCTTCTGCTTCTCCTCCACCCCTCACTTAAGGTCTCTTTATTCATGTCTCTTGATACATAAAGAGGGTTTGTTGTTGTTAGTGTACAGATGGGGTTTTTACACACACACCTCCCTGCCCTCGTCCCTGCTGTTGTTTACTGTGTTCTGTGGTCTTTTCTACCCTGCCCTTAAAGCCTCTCTTTCCCAGTCTCACAGGTCTCTTTCTAGTTCTTGGCAGAGGTTTATATATGACCAATATGTTGAAAAAAATTTTATTTTTATTTTTATTACTTTTTTTGGTTTTTTTGAGACAGGGTTTCTCAGTATCTTTGGAGCCTGTCCTGGAACTAGCTCTTGTAGACTAGGCTGGCCTTGAACTCAGAGATCCTCCTGCCTCTGCCTCCCTAGTGCAGGGATTAAAGGCGTGTGCCACCCTGTTACAAGGAGAGGAGGCTTGTTTGTCCTGGCTTCCTGGCTAGTTTACACCCGAAATAAGCACATAGAAACTGTATTGATTAAAACGGTACTTGGCCCATTTGCTCTAGCATCTTATTACTGGCTAACTCTCACATCTTGATTTGACCCATTTCTATTAATCTGTATATCGCCATATGAAAGTGACTTACTGGGAAAGATTCAGCATGTCTGATTCTGGTGGCTCCATGGTGGCTCTCTCGCTCTGCTTTCTTCCTCCCAGAATTCAATTCTGTCTTCTCTGCCTACCTAAGTTCTGCCCCTATCAGGCCAAGGAAGTTTCTTTATTCATTAACCAATGAAAGCAGTACAAAGACAGAAGAACCTCCCACACCACCACATGACTGAAAATAAAATTTATGCTGCGGTATTTGGAAATATTTGTTCTTTGCTTATATTTCTGGCTTGGACATTAATGGGGAGTAACTGCTAAGCCTGTTTTGGCAAAGCAGAATGTTAGGGTATGAATATGTATAAGTGGGAGGAATTCCTAATAATAAAGACCTTTCCTTGAAGCTCGAAGGCTTGCTTGGTGGAAGGATGCTTTCGCGGTGTTCACAGGTCCTGGGTTTAGTTCCCACCACTGTCAGAGAAACGGTTCTTGCTCTTGTGAGTGCTGAGCTGCCCATGTCTCTTTCTCTCTTTTATTTTTTGTCCCTCAACAAGTGCTAGGTTTTTTTCTTTTTTTTTAATCTTGGTTTTTCAAGAGAGGGTCTCTCTGTGTAGCCCTGACTGTCCTGGAACTCACTCTAGATCAGGCTGGTCTCAAACTCAGAGATCCACCTGCCTCTGCCTCCCGAGTGCTGGGATTAAAGACACGCACCACTACCACCTGACTGGGTTATTCTTTTCCTTCCTTCTCTCTCTCTTCCTTCCTTCCTTCCTTCCTTCCTTCCTTCCTTCCTTTCTTTCTTTCTTTCTTTCTTTCTTTCTTTCTTTCTTTCTTTCTTTCTTTCTCTCTGTTGTGGACCATCAATTATTTCTCTGACCAGAAGGGAGGCGTGGGAATAAAAGACACAACTCACATGACTTTATTGGAAGGGAGTTTTCAGGAATCTCTCATGAAATCCTGAGTTCACATCCTGAAAATCACCCATGTTTATTCTCCAAACAGCTTTCATACCAAAATGTAAACTGAGGGGAAAATTCATTAGCATTCTGTTTCCTAGGTAACCAAGCAAATGACTATGGTCACAGCTACACTTTTCTATGCCCATTTTGTCACCTCTTCCTATCTATACCTGCTCTGTCATGTAGACTGAATTAACATCTCTTTCTTAGGCATCCTCCCAAATTACAAAGAAGGATCCGAGTGACATTAGCATATCCTGACCCTTTGTTTAGGATGGAGTCAGTTTGTCCTCAAAGGCTAGGTGACCACCTCCTGTGCGGCCCATTGCAAACTGTGGCCTGAAAGTCTGGCTGCCATATAATGTAGAAATATGGGCCTGTATAATATGGCCCAACATTTTCTTTTTCTTTTTTTTTCTTCCTTTCTTCCTTCCTTTTTTCTGTTGTTTAAGAAAATATTTTAGATTTAGTTGGAGACTGATATGTTAGTAAGGGGCTAGATCTGCCTGTTCAAAACGAGGCCTGGTGATGATGCTCATATTCTTGTACTAAACCCTTGTATACATATGGTAGCTGGTGAAGTTGCCAATTGTCCAAGCAAAAATTTTTACTTGAACCTTATACACCTTTTGTTACCAGCCTGCTATGATGACTCAGGGCACCCAAGGAACAATCCGACCAGCGTCCAACTTTGATGCTATAAGAGATGCAGAAATTCTTCGCAAAGCAATGAAGGGTTTTGGTAAGGAAAATGGATTGTCTTTTTATAGCTATAGGGAAAGTGAACCTAAGTCATAAACGAAGTCCTGTGTCAACTTACACCTCAGTATCATATGGTGCCTACTGCCTTGGAAGCATTCTCGTCCTTATATAAATATATCTGTGACTCTTCCAGGGACAGATGAGCAAGCAATTGTGGATGTTGTGTCCAGTCGTTCCAATGACCAGAGGCAACAAATTAAAGCAGCCTTTAAGACCATGTACGGCAAGGTATGTCTTTTCCCTTTTACAAGAAGCAGTGGGGTCTATTCCACAGGGTCTGCATCCATGTCAGATTGGGCACTGTATTTTTACTAATACTGTGGGGGACAGGACAGATAAATGGACTTCACAGATTCCAGGATTAGTATCTCTTCAACACCTCATCTCCCCTCATACTGCATCTTGTATGTGATGGTCATTCAGGAAACAGTGGCTATGGCCCCCACTGAGATCTACTCCTTACTTAGTCCCTGCCTTTCCTCAGCTGTTGGTCATCTTCCACCCTCTTCTCTCTGAACATGTCCTGTGCTACAGTTATGTGGGGCTGGTGTTTTGTGCTTCTGTGTGCTTGTTTCTGTTTCTGCGTGGCTAACAGCTTCTTCAGTATTAGCGACTCTGTCTGCACGACGAGAGGCAGATTTGGCTGGCACTCCCGTTGTGGTCACATAGCACTCTAAAACTCTGTGCTGCTGTAGGTCTCACTGCACTGCTAGCTTCAGAACCTCCTCTTGACGTTCCAGCAGGAGGTGTGTTCCAGCAGGAGGTGTGTAGTGAGTGGTTCCTTAGTAAATTTGTGTGCAATGGATGATCAGTGCCTACATGCAGCCAAATTAATGGTGAAATTGCCCTTGATCCTTAGACGTGATGGGGAAAAGGGAAAAGTGGCTAGCATATCTTTGTCATTTACACAGGAATCTAAACTTTCCTAACATCTTCTGAAATGTGTTTACTTGCTTCAGAATGTTAGCCTGTTTTCCTCTACTCAGTTCAGATATACTTCTCTCTCTCTCTTCTTTTTTTTTTTAATTTTTTTGAGACAGGGTTTCTCTGCCTCTGCAGCTCTTGTCCTGGAACTAGTTCAGGCTGGCCTTGAACTCACAGAGATCCACCTGCCTCTGCCTCCCAAGTGCTGGGATTAAAGGCTTGCGCCACCGCCCAGCCTACTTCTCCGTATTATTATTTCTGCTACTAAATTGTGTGTGTGTTACAGGTATGCACTGAGCTTTCTTGTCATGATCTATCTCTTTCTTTTTCATCTATTCTCTGTACATGTGAGATGTGTTACATGAATGGGTTCTCTCTAACGTGTGTGTCTCAGAGAGTGATCTCAGGTGGCAGAGGCAGGCAGATCTTTGAGTTTGAAGCCAGTCTGGTCAATAGAATGAGTTCCAGGACAGCCAGGACTACACAGAGAAACCTTTCTCAAGAGAAGAAAGAGACCACGCATTCTTCTTTTATATTTAAGTTCACTTAAATATCCTGGGAGGGTCAGGACCTGGCATGCTGGGATTTGGAGTCCAGACCAATACAACTCTCAGGCCTGGGAGCTGGGAGCTACGCTCCCAACTTAACAATCTTTTTTTAAACACTCATTTATTTTTGTGCGAGTCTGTGTGTATGTGCGTGGGTGTGCACATGCTGTCAGACATGTATGGGGGTCAGCAGCCGGCTTTCTACCCTGTGGGGCCCAGGGCTTGAACTCAGACCCTCATACTTGACGGATATCTTCTACCCACTCCGCATCTCACCAGCCCTCATGTTGTTGGTCTGAATTATTCTTTTTCTAATCATACTTTCTGTCTTTGTATCTGCTACAGGAGAAGAACTGCAGGAAGGACTTATGTGTTTCTAAACAGTGAATTCATCACTAAATTTAATACTCATTGCGTCATATATCACATTCAGATTTGAAATTTTGACTTTCATTGTGCCAATTCCGTTTTTCCGTAAGATTCAAGTGAGGGGCTTAACAGGTGGCTCAGTGGCACTGGCTGCTCTTCCAGACAGCACAGGTTCTGTTCCCTGCACCTACGCAGCAGCTCACCACCCTCTGTAACTGGGAGATCCAGTGCCTACTTCTGGTCTCCACAGACACTCAGGCATGTGGTGCATAGACATATAGGTAGGTAAGACACCATACACCTAAAATAAAAATTATTAAAAAAAAAGAACCTCATGTGAGATAAGATATAGAAATCCTGTTTATTCACTGGGTAATGGTGGCACACACCTTTAATCCCAGCACTCAGGGGGCAGAAGCAGGCAGATCTACAGAACAAGTTTCAGGATAATCAGAGTTATACAGAGAAACACTGTTTTAAAAAAAGGAAAGAAAAAAAAGAAATCAATGTTATGTACTTAATTTTCATATCTTTTTAAACAGGATTTAATTAAAGATCTCAAGTCAGAGTTGAGTGGAAATATGGAAGAGTTAATCCTTGCCCTGTTCATGCCTTCTACTTACTATGATGCCTGGAGTTTACGGAAAGCAATGCAGGTACTCCACCTTATTTTCTATAACTATTCTGCATTGCTTTATATATAAGCCTCACAAATTTTGATAATTCTGAATTTGTAGGGATGTATGAGGCAAAATATTATTTTGTGTCCTCTGAAATGTAGCTTGATCATCTTTAGAGACTGTCCCTTGCTTCTGTGTAATCCCTCCCTTCATTTTGTATAGGGGGCAGGAACTCAAGAACGTGTATTAATAGAGATTTTGTGCACAAGAACAAATCAAGAAATTCGAGATATTGTTAGATGTTATCAATCAGAATTTGGACGAGATCTTGAGAAGGACATTAAGTCAGATACCTCAGGACATTTTGAACGTCTCCTCGTGTCCATGTGCCAGGTGAGTGTGGTATAAATGTCTGTATGTTAGTGGAGGAACCAGACTTTTTATCTAAGCATGTGCCAGTGAGCACACTTCACTAATAGCCAGCTCCCTGAATTATTGCTGTCATTAAGAGGAACAACACAGAATGCAGTGAGCAGATTTCTTCATAGTTGTTACTGAGACTGTTCTGTACATCTGGCTTTTGTAAGAAATTAGAAAATAACTTCTTTCAGATTTCATGAAATCAGAACCAGCCTGAGGCTCTGTGGCAGAGGTGTAGTTGAAAGTCCTGTCCGTTTAGCAGTGTCCTGTCAGTTCTTGTGGACCACCAGAAGATGTGCAGGGCCGCAGGAGAGGCGGGAGGATTTTCCTTATTCCCAGGTGTGCAGAGAGGTGACAAGAGAGCCTCTGGAATAGTGTTAAGGGCAGTGAGGGAAGGTCAGTGGATAACACACTTGATTGGTATCAACACACTTGATTGGTATCGGAAGTTAACTTCTGACAGCTGGTGTACACGAGGACAGGATCACAGGGATCTGAATTCAGGGGAGGAGAGGCTCTGAGGAGCCAAGGAAAGGTAGTTAGAGAAAGTCTCGTGGGTGTACAGTGGTGTGCTAAGGCTGGAGCTACAAAAATGAGGGGAAAATGGTCGGAAGAGCTAAGTTTGAACAGCAAAGCAAAATAGTAAACTAGCTTTGAAAAAGAGCAAGAGGGGAAGACAGGTGTATATGTTTAGTGCTCTAAAAAGGGGTGCGTGGTTCTTAATTGGGTTTATCTTTATGCAGGGTTCATGACCCATCCTTGACTTTTCTAGGATGGGAAGAGGTGTAGCACGAATAATAAAAACCCAGAGAGATATTGGGGTTCAACCTGAAGGTCAGAAAAGCAAAGCAGCCAAGCCCTAGAGAGCTCTTACTTCTATGAAATCTTGAGACTGAAAGAGAGCAAGTTCCTGTCTCGTCCTGCCTTATGTTCCTCTCTAGTGCTGGGATTAAAGGTGTGCACCACCACTGCCTGGCCTGTATGGCTGACCAGTGTAGCTGCTGTGCACTGACCTTCAGACAAGCTTTATTTATTAAAATTCAAATGAATTATCACTACTCAGACGTAAATTCTTAGAAAACAGGAAATTACTTAAATCCAAAAAATAATTTAAAATTTTTCCTGAGCACTTTTAAAAGAATATTCCTTTTATTATTTGTGTTTTGGAAGGAGTGCTAGAGGCATGCTGCCTCTGAGCTTAGGCCTCTTTTGAACACACTTACCCGTTTGTAATATGCCTATGCCGTTCGTTCCTCATGCCAAGTGCTCCTCAAAAGAGACTTCTCTAGCTTTGGGTTTTTTTTTTTTTTCATTTAGATTGAATCTAGGGGATCATACCTGCAAGGCAAACAAACTGTCTACCACTGAGCTATATCCCCAGCCCTCATAATAAATGTGTGTGCTAAAGTATACTTGGATCTGAAATCTTACATTGTCCCTTCTTAGAGTGAAATTCCTTGAGGGCAGAGACCTGGTCTCTGGTGTCCCTGTAACTCAACATAATGCCTGGTACAAAGATAACTGCTTGGTAGTTTACAGTTTTATAGGAATCTAACTCTACAGTGTGTTTTGATCTCAAATCCCAACGAAAGAGAGTTCTAGCATTTTTTATTTCAGTGATAGTTTATATTCCATTGTTAAAGACATTTAGTTGTAATTTAGCACTTGAAACCCCTTGCTTTAGCCCTATTAAGCCATGACTTTGACCAAAACCCAAAGCTAATTATAATGTAATACTGATTTAGAAGGAAGGACTTGGCAGACTTGATGCATTCACCTTCAATACGTTTCCCTAGGAATTCCACAGTAGTGCACCGAGGAGAGGACTTCACTTGACTCCAGTCTTTCTCTTGCAGGGAAACCGAGATGAGAGCCAGAGTGTAAACCACCAGATGGCTCAGGACGATGCCCAGCGCCTCTATCAGGCTGGTGAGGGGAAGTTAGGGACAGACGAATCCTGCTTCAACATGATCCTCGCCACGAGAAGTTTCCCTCAGCTGAAAGCAACCATGGAGGCTTATTCCAGGGTATGAACTCTTCTGGAGATTGCGTGTCTGTCTTAAGATCTGAAAATGCTTAACTTTGTAACTTTTGTTTGCAGATGGCCAATCGAGATTTGTTAAGCAGTGTAAGCCGAGAGTTTTCTGGATATGTCGAAAGTGGTTTGAAGACCATCTGTAAGATTTTTATTTTTGTCCTTTGCCTTAGTTTGTCTTTAATTGGGTGATTACAGTTAATCACTAGTTAAACACTAGTTAATCACTAGTTAAACACTAATCCCTAGAATCTGCTTAGGCAGAAACCGAGTAAACCCTATATTTTATGTACAGCCCTCTGAATGTTGATGGTGTAACCAGATGAATATTTTGTTTGTTTGCTTGAGAGTATTTGGCTTTGTTTGTATATCTTTATTGAGCACTGCACAAAGACCTTGTGTATTGTAGTTCTTCCTCTTAACAAATGAGGAAGCCCTAAGGAACTACCAGTACTACCCTAAGACTTGTTTTTTTAGTTTATTTATTTATTTATTTATTGAGGCAGGGTCTTACTGTATTAGCCAGGTTGGCCTTGAGTTCGCAAAGATCCACCTGCCTCTACCTCCTGAGTGTATCTCCATATATAGTACACAAAACATTGCTTTGAGTCCTCAGAACACACATCCAAGTTCTTAACACAGTGAGACTCTTTGGAGTTAATGTGTTTGTGGTGGTCTGACACCTCAGTGTGTGGGAATTCCGTCCTCACAGATACTACAGAAATAAGGAGAGTATTACGAACTCCTTATTACTAGCAATGGAGTGCCTGAAAATGTTAGTGTAATGAGCATGGCTAAAGTGACAATCGCTACAGTGTATACCCTCTCTCTGCCATCTGTAGGAACTCACTTTGCTAAGTAGTTTTCCAGTGACTCACAGTTCCAAATGCTGTTTTCAAATCTTTGTCAATCTGTTTTCTCTTAGATGATACTCATAGTTTTTTTCTCGGCCAAATGACAGTCGTTTTTGTGTGTTTATGGTGCTAGGAATTGAACCTAGGGACTTAGACATGCTAGAGAAGTACTCTACCACTGAGCCGTCGTGTGTGATATGTATGTTACAGATTATGCATGGCATGGCACACATAAGGAGACTAGAAAATATTTCTGTGGAGTCAGTTCGAGCTTCTGCCTTTAGGTGCTTTGCATTTGGGGGATCGAACTCAGGCAACTAGGCTTTTACAAGTGCTTTTCCTGCTCTAGCTGGCCCTCAAAAATATATTCTTAATGTAAAGAATTCAGATTTCTGTCATTTCTTTTAATAAGCTATCACTTAATCTGGGACACACTTGCTATAGATCTTCATACTAGAAAATGTAAAGAATCTACATCAGTGCATCTATAAAAAGAAAATAGATTTATCAGTTTGAGTGAATCCTCTAGAAATGAAAGTTGCCTGTCTGATTCAGCTACAAAGGTTGATACATGTTGAGAAAAAAAGGTTGCTACAAGGGGCAGAAGACTATTCACATTCTTCTTATTTCTGTGTAAAAAATAATCACAAACAGGCTTAAACGAATGCACAGAGGTGGGCTGGCTGGTCCTGCCGGCCTCCTCTGAAGCTTGTCTGCCTTGCAGTGCAGTGCGCCCTAAACCGCCCCGCCTTCTTTGCTGAGCGACTCTACTTTTCTATGAAAGGCGCTGGCACAGATGACTCCACCCTGGTCAGGATCGTGGTCACTCGCAGTGAGGTGAGACAAGATGACACTTTCTCTGTCAGACTGAAGAATCAATGTTCGTGATTATAAGACCCTTAGGAATGACATGCCCTCCATGTGAGGGAGGTTTTCAGTAACATTAGCCCCTCAGTGAAGACAGCAAGAAAGCTTTCCTACTTGAAAAGGCCAGTGAGGAATACAGGTTTATGGGAAATTGCAAGGTGTATTTGTTTGTTTGTTTATTAAATTTCTAAGGGGACTGGAGTCTCATTAGATTGCCTAGGCTGGCTAGGACTAAAGGATGCACCATTGTGTCTGCCTTGCTTTTGTGGCTTTAGAACCTGGCCTGGAACTAGCTCGTGTAGCCAGGCTGGCTTCAAACTCACAGAGACCCGCCTGCCTCTGCTTCCTGAGTGCTGGGATTAAAGGCGAGCACCACCACCACCCAGCTTATTTACCGACTGATTTTTGCAGTGCTTGGACTGAAACCTAGGTACTTGTGCACGCAAAGTATGGGTTCCAGTTTGTTCTTTTTCTTGGTCATGTAAAAAGTAAAAATACCTATCTGTTTGGATATCAATGTTAGCATCCTTGTGAATTATAAAATAATCTTTAAATTCATCAGTTTTTACTTCAATATATTGATATTCTGTGTGTGTGTGTGTGTGTGTGTGTGTGTGTGTGTATTTGGGGAGGGGGGGTTCAAGACAGAGTTTTTCCGTGTGTAGCCCTGGCTGTCCTGGAACTCCCTCTATAGCCCAGGTTGGCCTCAAACTCACAGAGTTCCTTCTGCCTCTGCCTCCCAAGTGCTGAGCCACCACTGCCCAGTTATATTTTTAATTGAAAGTATACATTATTAAATAATACTATAGGAGGTAGTTAATTTTTTTAGAAAGGCAAACAAAATTTAGGGTTTTTGTTTGTTTTGTTTTAGACAGAGTTTCTCGTGTATTCCTGGCTGTCCTAGAACTTGCTTTGTAGACCAGGCTGGTCTAGAACTCTGAGATCTGCCCATTTTGACCATTTTTTAAGTGTACTGTGCAACCGTGTGGTCACGTTGTACACTGTTGCACCATCTAGAAATGTTTACATCTTGCAGAACTGAAAATCCACACTCAGGAAACAGTCACCCCTGCCTTCTGCTGTCAGCAGCTGCCACACAGCTTTCTGTCCTGTGTTGATGGCACTGGATTTATCGTGTGCTAGGAATCGTACAGCATTTTTGAGACTGGCTTCTTTACTTAGCCTCGGCTTGGAACTCATCATGACTGCATAATTTTAAGACTGAGTAACAACCCGTCTTGACTGATGTTCGTCTGTGTATACGTACTTGGTTTGCTTCTGCCTTGTGTGTTTTGTAAAGGACGCTGCTATGAGTGTGGTGTGCACTGATCCCTTCCAGTCCCTGCTACTTCATTTGGGATTTAGCAAGAAATGGAGTTGCTGGACGATACTGTAATTTTGTAGATCCTTTTTTAAATCACTGTACTGTTATCCACAGCAACTACTGCATGTTACATTCCCAACAGGAATGTACAAGTGTTTTCATTTTTTGGCATCCTTACTACCACTTACTGTATTACACATTTTTGTAAAGCTATCCTATTATCAGATAATGTATATTTTAAATGACAGTATTTGGGGATAACAGATGAAACTGGTGTCTTGTCATCCAGGGTTTTCTAAAGCAGCAAATGAGATCTTCCCTGAGAGTGTGAGCAAAGGTGGCCTCAGCACTAGTATGAATGATAATTCTGGAACATTGCTCATTGGGTGTTTATCCTTTCCCATTCTGATTATTGTGGTATTATTACACAAATAAATGCCCTGGTCTACAGAGTAAGTTCCAGCGAGGGTTTTACACAAAGAAACCCTGTCTCAAAAAAGCAAAATGAAACCCAACAACAAAAATGCATTTTCTTTGAACAGATTTTTTTCTGACCTACCATTTCTTACAGATTGACCTTGTTCAGATAAAGCAGATGTTCACCCAGATGTATCAGAAGACACTAAGCACCATGATTGCCAGTGACACAAGCGGGGACTACAGGAAGCTGCTGCTGGCCATCGTTGGTCAGTGAGAAGGATTTGGGTTTCTTTAATGAATGAAGCTATTCTGAGCTTAGCCTTGCAAGCAATGAGACCTGCATGCAGAAATGTCAGCACCACTTAACCAGAGTAGCTTTTTACTAAAGATTGTGTCAGGGTAACGTGCTTGGTTTGCACACATTGTTACTGCCTTAATTCCAATATTCTTTTTTTCTTTGTATATCCAATCAGTGTAAAAGCCATATCAATGACATAGTCATTTTGTGCCATTTGTAAAGCTTTATTCTCACTGCTTTTGTTTTAATCAGGATTTAAAATTGAATAAAAATCACAGCAATCTAATTCTATGTAATGTTAAAATGTTCATTACCTGTACTTCAAAAACTGAGAGAATGAGAATGGTGTTTTTTAAAACTGATGCTGGTCTGGTTTGATTTCGGAGCATAATTTTCAGCTCAGGAACATAAGTACTTAGAAGCCACAGTAAGTCCCATCTGATGGCTGAGGGTCCCTGGTACAGGTGGAGTGTCTCAGCTTCAGCTAGCAGTGTTGAAGAGCTTTAGAGCCGCCTGATGTCCACTCAGATAAGACAGTTTGTCCTGGAAATCTCTTACCTCTGGAGATTTTGAAAATTTCACTGGTGTTCTTGAGACTCCTTTTCTATCCCAAGGCCAGCTGTTAGGAGTGACTCCCACTGCATGGGCGGAGTGCTTTGAAACCACGCAGCTCTGACTGTGGTGACCCTTGCAAGGCTGGCTTCTAAGCTGCTGAGACCCCAGATGTTACGTTATCTCAGTAACCAGAATGTTCCCGAGGCTCTCAGGAGCTTAGCTGAAGCACAGGAAAGCTGCCTCCCCTCCACAGCGCAGTCACTTCAGCCCTAATAGAATCACTTCTGTGTTCCTGCCTGATCGCAGTGGATGAGGAGCAGAGCTACTGCCGTTCTGTTAATAGTCACAGTGAAAAGCACCTCAATTACGTAAGCCTCTGTTCTCCTTCCCATCTTTTTAAGAAAGATTTTAGATATGTGTGTTTGCCTGTGTACATGTACATACAGCCACTGCGTACATTGCCGGCAGAGACCCTGGAACAGGTTACAGATGCTTGCGAGCTGTCCTGTGAGTGCTGACTCCTAAAACGTCCTCTGCATGACCAACATCTTTGAGATTTTTATTTTACGAGTTTATTAGACTGGAAAAATGGAAAGCTATGGTCTGATCTTTAAAGATAAATGTTTAAGCAATAAGTTTGGCCCAATAACTTTACAGAAACAGTAAAATGGTATAATACTTTTTAAAAACCACAGTTCTTTTGACCTAGAGTGATAATTGTAATTTGAATCTTTTTTAAAAATTACTTATTCTTTATGTGTACAATCATTCACACACACACACACACACACACACACACACACACACACATATATGTCTGTACACCCGTCAAGCCTTGGATCTGAGGAGTCCAAAAGGGGGCACAGATACCCTGAAAATGGAGGTAGAGATGGTTGTGAGCCACCATGTGGTTGCTGGGAATTGAAGCCAGGTCCTCTGGAAGAGCAAGCAGTGCACTTGACCACTGAGCCATCTCTCAGCCCCAAGTTTGTTTGCTTGTTTTTCCTCATTTGTGTATTTTGTTTTTAAAGACAGTCTTGTTTCATAGTCGTGACTGGCTTTGAATTTGGAATCTTCCTGTCTTAACTCTTTTATGTTCTGGGATTGTAGGCATATGCTGCCATATCTAGCCCCTAAGCTTAGTTGGCATGTAATTGACAAAATTTAAATTTGCTTAATTTAAGCCTCACAGTATGATCTTTGATAGAACTAATCTTGTGTAGTGTCTTCCATAATCAAATTCAAATA